TTTTCCCCCCCCTTTTTTTTTTTTTTTTTTTTAGGAAGCTTAGAGACTATGCTTTTAATAGATAATTGAAAAAGTAGTAATTTGTAACAAGATAGCTTCTGCAGACAAGTTTGTACTGCTGAACAGGAACGCTCCTGTTTAAACAGAGCAAGAGGGAGTGACCTAGACCCCTTATACTGCTCTCAGATATGTATTTTTAAAGTAATAGCCCAAAGATTTAGAAGACGATGTTATTGCACTATCTGTAAAAGAACAGTGGGAACATGGAGACATGTTTGGAGAAAGAACAGGTCATGTTTATGACTCACAGACTAGACATAGCCCTTACCTGATAGCCCTGACAGCGTCCATTCCCATAAACTGTCCAAGCCCCATTTTCGCAAATGGCAGAGGTTAGATGGGTTTTGGGTATTAGCTTGAAGAGAAATGTTGCAATGGAAGTAATTACCAGGCGGTTTAAGATTAGTTTTCTCAAAAGCATCAACACCAAATGCAGTGACCTGTCACATGAACACATCTGGTTATACAGAGGTTGCTTTCTAGGATTCAGAAGACTTCATTACATCCTTTACTCCTTAAGTAACCATTAAGGTCATTTGGTAGCCAAGTATTTTGAGCAGCTAAGTGTGAAAAAATAAAACTAATAAAAAGAGTCAGTGGAATCCATGAAGCACTGGGGAGAGCGTTACTCCCTAACTATTTAGTATTAGGCAGCTGCATGTGGAACAGGATTTTTTTCTCTGCTGAATACGGATTGGACCAAACTTGATAATAAAGGTCAAACACTGGAGTTTATTTCCAACATATAAGGTGACTTTAACACAATTTCAGCACTAAACCATTCTTTGTGTCAGGGCCTGCCAACATGTAAGCACATCCCCGCCCTCCCTTCCACTGGGTGTTTTACTGAATGAATGTTGTTTTCTAGGACACAATTTATTTAAAAACATTTATTTTAGGCAAAATTAAACAGACATTTGAGATTACATAGAAATACAGTTTCCAACTGGATCACATAACCTTTTCATTAAAAATGCACTGTTTTGTTGATTATTTTTGTATGGATTGACCAGGTATGTAATATTTAACCATGCCATTTGCAGTCAACTATCATAAAAATCAGAAACAAAAAAGGTTTCTTAAAATGTGCAAATATTATCTTAGTGTTACCGTTGATAATAAGTGACCACTAAATAGATGCTTATTATGTAAAGCTTTTTAAAGTACAATAAAAATACAAATTCTATTTGTTAAAAAAGGCCATTGCTATGGCTACTAAACATCCTCATTATACAAATTCCAAAATACTATATGACAAACAAAATTATAAAGACTTTTCCTTATGAAACATATACTATTCTATTTGTTAGTGATTTTATATATTTTATATATATATTTATATATAATACTCTATATGAATGTTAAACACAGAATAAGAGATGAAGACTAATGTAATGTAGGACATTAAGGCCCCCATTCAGCAAGGTACCCGAGCATTCATCAAACTTTGCAATGGAATAATCCCATTCATTTCACTGGACTTCAAAAGTACATGCAGAAGTACTTTGTTGAACAAGGCATAACGATATACATGTGATCATGAATTTGCAAAATGCATTTTTGGTGTAAACTGTCACTGCTAAGGACAAAACCTCTCATCACAAAAAAAAAACTTCATGAAAAAGGAAAGAAAATATTTAAAAAAAAATCTGAAATTTTTTTCCTCCCACATCTCTAAGTTTTGAGGGGAAAATATTAGAATTTTTATAGTTTTTAATTGAACTAATGTGGAGTTTGGGCATTAAAGCACTAATGATAATAATTTTCTGAGATAGGCTTAAGATGGTATTTTATTGCTTATGCTGAAGATTAATGAGGAGTATGCATAGACAGGTCAGCGTTCAACTCATTAGCAGCTGAAAATTTTGGTGTGTAGTTATTTCTGTAACATGAACAACCAGTGGGTATGAAGGACTTACTAACTTATATTGAACTCTCACAGCAAGCTTCAAAATTATAGTGAGACATGTAACATTAAAGCAGACAATGAAAAAAATACTCAACAGAGCCTGACTGTAAACAGCATGTTGAACATAACTTACAGAATTGAGCCCAGTAAATGGAGTGCCTGCTTATACATAAAATTACGTAAATTCCTAAGTAAATGCAAGACCATAATCTTCCTTCTAAATTATGGTTATCATATAACGAACTCCAAATGACATGCTTTACAGTTCAGCTATAAAATACCAAAACAAAGGGCAGTCAGTTTGTCCATTCTGCAATTTAGCAGTTCTTCTACGCTCATCAAACACTAATTAAAATACTAAGAATTTGTTAGTTTCTAAAACATGAATTAAGGACCTAGAAATCTCTGGATTTTATAAGCTAATAACAACATCTGTACAGCATAGTAACCATGCACAGTAATGGAAATCAATTACACAGCATCCAGATTTACCTTTTAAGCATATATTAATGGTTAGTATTTTCTGCTTTTTCACTGCAATTTGAACTTTTTGTACTAGATATAAACCATTTTACTGCTTGAATATTAAATAATGGATTAAAAGCATAATTTCAAAATGCTGCTAGGTAAAGTATTATGTAAAAATCATGCTTGCACATCTGCAAACAGAGAGGTATGTGTGAGCTTTCTGAAGAACTCCTGCAGGCTAATAGTCATAAAGCATAGCAAACTCGGGCCAAAATGTGAGAGAAAGGAACACAACAGCGTAATTTAATTAATATTTCATAAACAAATACAACTTTTTACATTTGTACAGGGAAAGACTGGAACTAAATTGGATTTTTACAGAAGCAAATCTCACAAGAGTTTACATGTTGAAAAAAGCAATTTTTGGCACATGGATAATATTTGTGAATACGTGTTCAGAATCAATAAAAAACCACTGTGTAGGAATTTCACATTTAGTTTCTTGGCATCAGCACCTGCTGTCTAGTGGATCAAGACAAAATACTGTGCCTTCAAGAGTTAATCCCATTTTGAACCCCTCCTGCAATGAAACAAGACATAGTTAATAAAAAAGAAAGTGATTGCTGGAGAATCAAGCTCTCTTTCTAAATTTGAGCTTATCTTTAAGCAGATAAACCATAAGGATATTGCAAAGTGAATTCACAGACATTTATATTATTTAGTCAGCTGATCTTTAGTAAGTGGTTAACTTACAAAAGAATGTATCTTGTACAACAAAAGAAATTCAGTAGAAATATTCTAGAATAAAAATACTGAATATTCATATACATAGGCTGATAGAAAAACAAAAGAAGCTTGACTTGCACCGTGTTGTTCCTGAGTAAAATTCAACACGATTTATAAGCAGGAAAGAATTAGGGCAAGTCACAAATATTGTTACTACTACCAGGTATCTCCTCCATTCCATAATCGCTTATCTTAGTAGCAGTCCAACAAAAACGACAGTACTCAACCACATCTCAGAGGTTTGTTCTGAATCACTCCCCAGTCAGTTAAACTGACAGCTTTCCAGCCTACTGTCGTCTGAGCTTCACTAAAAAGGCAAATAAAATTATACTTGATCTACTGCAAATAAACAAACTGTGCATTTCAAAGGCATGTAACTTGGTGAAATAAAATACAATGGCCTTAAAGCGCAAAGAATTTCTTTAAGAGTTTGGACCAAAATTCCTCTTTTTACTTGCATTAGTTTGATTAGAAACACAAAAATGATTATAAGATAGATGCTACCATGCCCCTCTACTGAAAAAAAAATTCTACAAATACCTATATTTGCTTTACAAAATGTACTTAGTTTGCACCAGTTCTGAAATAAGAACAGTACTTGTAATACAGGGACAGTGCTTTTGTTATTTTTCTTTTTGCTTTAAAAGTGGAATAATTGTGGCTTGACCTTCAAGAGAAAAGTCACCTTTGATTCATGAAAATTTCAATCCGTTAGGTGAAAGTCCTGTAAAGCTAGAATTAATTGGAATCAAGCACCCTGAATAGAAATGCCATGAGGACATCAAGCCCAGTGTCAGCTGTCACAATGTTCAGTGTTGTCTTAACATACAGCTCACTTAGAGACTGCTGATCATATGCTATGAAATCAATATGTGCTTTCATGAAGCAAACATCTTGTAAACAAAATGATTCTGTTTGTAAAGCAATCCATATTGAGATTAGGCATAAAATCAAGCCTTTTCTTATAATGCACAGCAGTACATCAAGAGCGTATCTTTTGGCTTTGAAAGATAAATCTCAAGTCAAAGCAACTTAATTTCAAACAAATTTAAACCACAGGCTAGAATTTTAAAAGCATATGAGTATTTAATAACACCAACAGCTACTTCCATCAGAAGAGTAATGCTGAGAAATAAACTTGTTCGCAATAGTTACTAAATGATCTGAGATTTTCCAAGTAAAATTTTAATTTTTCCAAAGGCAAATCCATACTATGAGATGAGCCAGTATCAGTCTTATGATGTAAGCCAGAAGGCTTACACCGACTGCGCTACCCAGTTTGCCCTACCTGAGTGACATGGTGCTGCCAAAGCTCACTAGCATACTTGATCTTCTCCCCCCCCTCCCCTCTGTATTTTTCAAAGGGTTAACAGGAAGAGCATTCAATGCAAAAGATGCTTCCAGCAAACAATATCTGAAGTTCCAAGTCAAACACATCCTGTTATAAACATTCACTTACCCAAAGGATACTATTAATTGATGTAACTGCAGTCAAAGGAGGACTGCTTACACAGAAGAATTCAGAGAATTAGCCCTACAGTCTAGTCTGTTAAATTGTAAACCCCACAGTTAGCGTGTCTGAAGTGCTGATCTTTCAAAGCATTTGAAGGCTGCCTCCAGTTTTGAAGTTGTAAAAGGGATAGTTTATGCTTCAACCTGAGGCTGTGTGATACAGCTGCAATAGAACACCCACAGCAACTGGTTTAACAAGGACGACCAGCTTTATTCCTAGCCACCCAGAGAGCCCTTCAACCAACACACATCCCATTCACGTCCTGCATACTTTTACTTTTCTTCTATATGTTTAAGTACTGTTGTTGTTGTCTTGCACAGCTGCACTTCCAATGCCCTTTTCCTGGATAGCTGAAAGCAAACTGGATTACGCATTTAGGAAGTGCATGTATCTTGCTGCTCTTATGTTATCATGTGGATTTTAAAAATTTTTGTTTTATTCCATACAAACTGATATCTTGTCACTTATCACTTGACTTGTGTTTGCCATGACTTGACTTTGAACTATTTCTACTTTCTTGAAGAGTGGTCTCCCTGACCCTTCCTTCTGCAACTTCGCTACAGACCACTCTTCCTCCCTCCCCTTCAGTCCTCCCCTTCTTTTAAGCTGTGGTATTTAGCTTTTAAAACAATCACAGTTTGACATATTTGCAATATGATGGATGTTATTCCATTAAGACATTGCTGCACTATATGTATCATAATTATTTATAAAGCCTTCTAACTTTGTTACCATAATGAACTATTGTCTGTTCTAAAAGAAGACAGTGATGTGTTTGCCAGGTGCTGTTATCAGTTGCATACCCGAGAACCCAGCTTCTAGTACAGGCAGAACTGATAAGGAAGTAAAACCTACAACTATAGCACCAGGAACTGCAGTGTTTAACACATGCATACTTAAAAATGGCTCATGCACATAGCTATAGTCTATAACAATGTGATGTTTTAATGTTCACCTGTTGAATCACACAAAAACTGCTATCAAGCGTCAGATACTACAGCTACTTGTATGCTCACACTTCCATGCCAACCACAGGGTCAAAAATACCCAACAACATAAAGAGGACATCAAGACAACCTAAAGGGCCATCTGGGCTTTTTCAGAGCTTAGAAAGAATGTAAAACCCAGATTTTTACTTCCTGAATATTTAAGTGGAGGACAACAAGTGTGTAGGAGTATAAGCCAAAGAAAGCTGTATTGTCTTGACCAATATTCCCATTAAATTAAATGCAGCCCTCAAAAGGGAAAAAAAAACAGAACAGTCCAAGCAGCCTCTTTGGCAAAGTGTTTGCAATCAAATTTCCAAAGATCAGGAAAGCACAGACTTCAGATCTCCCACAGCCATCTCCATTCCTATCTCTGAAGTTTTGCAAAATAACTACAAATTCTTAAATAATTTTTGGATTCTCCAAAACTATAGTTTGGCAAATATATGACAATTAAAAAAAAATTCCAATCAGCTGTAGCCAAGCAAGCTGTGGGAAGACAAGTTTTTAAGAAAAGATTATTTTTTATGTCCTTAGTTGAACTGCAATTAATGCAGATAATAAAGAAAATATCCTATGTTGTAGTTCTCACAGAAGTGCAGAACACTTTGAACTTTATGTCCGCTTTCAGGATTACAGTTTATATATACACCTGAACTGCATATATCTCTCAAGATTTATAGCTCCTACTTGAAGCTGCTGTATGATTATTATAGTATCCATCATGCATCATATGGCTACTTTTGACTCTCCAAAACCCAGCATTCACAGCTGCAATAATAATGATGTCAGCTGAAACGACTGAGGAGATATAAATTACGATTTTTTAAAATCTTTTTCTAATATGCTAATTTAATGTTAGGCAAAATATTTTTTATTTAAAAGTGACATATATAGTCAGCACTCTAAACATATTACATATGTAAAAAAATTCATCATTAATTTTTATACACAGTGTTTAAAATATTTTGCCTTGTGAAATTCAGACATCTCAGTTTCTAATAAACATGTGTTCTTGGCATAACACACTGCCTCTTCATTAAAAAACATGTGTGCTATGGCTTCCTGTAATTTAAAGGTTCAGGAAACAGTAACTTCTCATGTGGTCAGAAAATCTCTCAAATCTGCTGATTTTCAGGGAATGCAGAAAAAGACCATCCTCTGATGGGGGAAACAGGAAGGACTATGAAGTGTACATCTATATTGTGCCTTGCTTCTGTGTTCATACCCCCATGATGACAGTGTCAAGTAAGTTTTTTACTTCTGAGGTGATTCAACTCAAGAGCTGAACATCTTTGTCACCCAGAAAAATGATGGACTTGCAGGGTATGATTGGTCTCAAAGAGAGGAGCAAAGCGTGTTTTCACTAGAAAAAGTAACCTGAAAACAACCCTTCTTCTAAAACTCCTACTTTGTGTCTATGATAGTAAGACTTGAGCTATTCTGGTTATAAATTGGTAAACAGTAAAAGACTAAAGAACTTCCATTTTATTTTATAAATTTGTCAAAGTCAGCCTTATGGCTCTGAGGTTAACTTACTTATCACTTCACAGTGACTTCACCCAATGAGCTTAAGTCAATGAATCAATGATTAATTTACATGTCTCTTGAGTAAATAATTTAGAGGGCTGAGCATAACTTATTTCAGATGGAAAGACGTCAAGCCTACTGACTGCTTTGGGGAGAATGGCTTGCAGCTCCTGGAAACTTTATGATTTTAACTACCTTGAGATTTTAATAAATTATAGCAGCTGTTGCTGGTATGATTCATGATTCAGGGAAACGTCCCCTCACTGCAAGATTTCTGGGAAAATAGATTCGTTTTATTAATGTCTGGATATAGTCAAAATAGAGGAGATGAAAATATGCTTTAGCATAAGGGTGGGGGGAAACAGGAGGTTGGAGAGTCATCAGAGTGAGGCCTGAGCTGTAAAAGTCACATCTCAGCACATGTTTGAGTTTTGAGCTCTCCAAAAAGATCAACAGAAACTGGACCGAGAAATGGAACAGAAAGAGTTTAAGTGTGAAATCTGGATCCTCACTAAAGTTTAAACATAAACCATTCTCCCCAGAGGTCAGGAAACTTTATCTGATCTCATTAAATTCAAAATATCGGATGCAAAGGAAAAGCATCCACTACTTAAGGAGTCTGGTCTTCAACACCTCTTCCGCTGTGCTGTGCTTTCCTCTCTCACTTTGCTTACACATCACCTTCCAACGCACGCACACGCCGAGACAGCTTTTCTGCAGACTGGGGCACGTTTCCTGAGGCATCTGACATAACTCTACATGAGAAACAGAGTAAGAGAGCCTCGACTGCGCTGCTCCAAGCAGGCTGTCAGTGCCTGGCGCGGAGGCCACTGCTTACCACTCTGAAGGTAGATAAGCTGTATTTAATACCCTCTCAGAATAAGTTTGTGCTTTGAACTATTAGATGTATTCATAAACAACCTACCTTTGTATATTTAATGGAATACGTATTTACTGAAACTCAGGCTGTACTTTCATAATGTGACAGATTCCTTCACTTTGCATTTCAGAAGGAAAAATGCCTACATTTTTCTTTCATTTTTCTTAAATTTAGATTTCCCCGAGCATACATGTTGTGTGCTTTTACCTTTTGTAGTGTTCATTTCACCTTCTTTCCTATAGGCCGTATATCTAACAACTGTTGACTTCTAGCACAGCTATCTTCAGCTCATTCCAAGTTTCCAAGTAATTATTTCCACATAAAAACACATTAACAAATGTGACTGTACTAACACAAAAAAATCTATGCATCAGAGGCTTTGCTTAAACCATTTCACTAATGACAATCCAATAATGAAAATGGGAGATTTCACTAGTACACATGGAAAAACAGCAATGAAATGAAGGCTTAGTAGTAGCAGTTGATAAGACAGACTAAAGAAAACTAAAACCAGCTCTGTCTACTTTAAACCTGTAGGCCCCTAAAAACTAAAATGGCCCAGACTTAGAGTTGTATATATAAAATATAAAACTTGCAAGTTTATATATGTGCACGCATATACATAAAAACACCAGACATGAACACATTCACACTACAATTGTAAATTCTTCAAATAACATTATTAAAATATTATATACCAACCATCGCTGACGCTAGGCACCCAGGAAAGCACAAGAAGATAAAAGAGATATTAGGAAAAACATGTTTCAATTTGTATTTTGCATCAACCGCCTGGTAAAACAACTGCACACAGCTTTTGCTTCGGCCAAAGTTAGAATTTTTTTTTTTTTTTCACATCCTAGAAGCTTTACACTTGTTCTCAATTGGATTACACATGCACAGTTTTTGTGCCTACATAAAGACCCACTAATTAATTTTCAGTGGAAATGTCAAGGTAAGCTAAGACTGATACTGCTTTATAAACTAGTCTCTAACTGTCAGACCAGTTTATACAGCACACAAAAAAGTTGGAAAGAACAAAAGCTGTATGTGCAAGGGGAAATACCTGACCAATGCAATATTCTTTGAAATAGGACACAGTAACACCCTAAGGTTTGGGGGTTTTGTTATTGGTGGTTTGTCTGCTTTTTTTAGGTCAAGAGAGTACAAACAACAATATGAGTTTTTCATTTTACAACTTCAAAAATCTTCGATAAAGATTTCTACTGTTCCGTTCACTGATGTTTTATGAAGTGATAACACTTTGCAGCCTTATAAGCTAAAAATTAAAGAATTTGTCAATAACAACTCCTAGCATGTGACATTTAGATATTTTCATAGGATTCTTCCTATTAGCCACAGATGCTACAGTATACTTTTTCCTAAAATGGGCTACAGACAATGGAAACATTGACACACATCAACGTGAGGTGCTAAAAGATTTGCTGTTTGTGCTAAAGGGCTTGTTAGTATCATTACAGCATTCACTAAACACAAGCATTTTTACTGGAACTGCAAAGAAGCCAGTTTAAGCTTTTAACTGCTATCTGGAATCATATGGGCTGGAGTACAGGTGAGCAAGAATCTAAATTTCTTAATTTACAGTGAGTGGAGTTTGCCAGAGACACCTACCTAAACTGACATGCAAAATAAAATTTCACAATGAACAGGAATGAAAAAAAATTATCCAGGAAAATTAAATGGTATTTAAATCTTATTTTAGCTATTTTGAAATGTTTCTGCTGCTCTCCAGTCAGAAGAGTGGAACTGAAGGAGCCTAGAGATAGTTCTCTTGGAATTTGTGGGCTCTTGTGATACAAGAGGGCTGTAGGTCTGGGAACATTTTCTGCTGAGGAGACAGGATCCTCAAAATTCAAGTTCCCAGTATTTTCAAGCCTTCCATTTTGCTGGCATGCTGCTGAAAACAAAACAGATAAGCAAGCTGGCTAGGAACTAGCAGTTTGGAAAGTCTGACTGAAGAGAGCAGTTTATTCCAAAACTTTAAGGCTTTCTCCTGGCGTTGCTTCAAAATTGTGTCAATAACACAACAGATATTGAGTGTTTCAGAATCAACAAACGTTTTCTGATAAAAACACAACAGTTCAGAATTCTTGAATCAATTCTTAGTAGTTTAAATGTCCCAGAGTGTCACAGTCAAATACAGCTGTTTTTAAAGGCAGCAGAAAATTGCCACGGCCCCTTAAGCATGTACTGTGTCTATGCCAATGCCATGAACAACCAGACTGATGCCACTGAGGGAAAGATGAGGGCATACTGGAATGGTGGTGATTACTGGAACTGAAGAATAACAAGATCAGTGTATCTGTAGGGCTCTCGCCTCAGCTATGCTCTTCAGTTTGCTCAGTCCCTTCCCAGGCAGGAGCAGCAGTATCCATTTTGATTACACTGCTGAGAAACCCTAAATTAGTGCAGGTGTCTATATTAATACCATGTAAGGACCTTCAGGCAAATTCAAACTCCCAGCTCAAAGACCATCACTTACAACAGGAACAGTCAGAAACAGTTTTTCTAGTTATTTGTATGTGCAGTCTGGAATATATTATCAGAATACTGTAAACATGTATTTCAAGAATAGTTGTACAGACACAGAAAACTGCATAACTGATAACTGAGTAGTTACCTGCATCTCATCTAGTTTGGACTGAATGTCTGGAGGGAAATCTCCTGCTCCGCAGCTAAAAGGGTCAAAAGGTTCTGCTCCAAAAAGGTCTCTCTCTGGAAAAACAGAAAAGTTAAGTCACTGAAAGAAAAGGTACGGACCACAACAATAGCACTTTGAAAAAATCAGCTTACATCTCCTCACAAGCTGAATAATACCACCTCCAGATATGCAACTGCTTAACCACAGATTTTAACACTGAAATTTGAAAGCCAGGTCTTGATTAGTTTTCCCAAGTTTAACACTCAACGTATTTTTCCAAGAACACCACTAACTTCTGCTCAAGCCTCTAATTAGCTTTCATTAATGCTTGTGCTGTCTAGAGGAATTTTAGGGATCCAACGAGAAGTTGTTGCAATTTGAAGAGGGCATCTCCTACCAAAGCGTGCTCTGGAATTGATGTGTATAAGGAGTTACATAAATGAGGAGGGAACAACTGGACATCCAGTGTCAAATTTCATCCTAACATTATGTCAGGAACATTCTTGCAAACAAACTAGCCTTCATGTCCCCTGTCTGACACTTCTCACCATCAGGTTAAGGACATCTTTGTAAGGACAAGCAACTACTCTTACTCATGGAAGATTAAGATTTTCATTTGATAGGAGTTCCTCAATGCACAACTGGTAGTAACTAAAACTAATTGTCAGGGGTTTAAAATCTTGGATAGGATCAAGTCAAGAAAGAAAGAAAGAAAGAAAGAAATCATAGGACCATGAAAGGTCACTTACCCCCAAATTCCACTAAATCTGGATCCATAATCGAATGACTGCAAATTTATACCATATAGTTTCTCACTTTTTCTTAAGTGTAGTATGCTTTCTGAGGTCAGGGGTTTTTTTTGTGTTTCTTTTTTGTCCAAAGAAGAAACACCTCCAATACATGTTTGGGTTTTGTTTTGTTTTGTTTTGTTTTTTTTAAATTAGAAAAGTGTAATGCTAGTTCTTCACATCGGATCAAATATTTTGGGGCTTGCTTTTTGGTGGGTTTGTTTTCTTTTTTTCCTTCTCGGTAATGGGATTTATTTCTCAACATCTAATGGTGCGATCTATACAGACTTTTCCTATTCCACATTGGATTGAGATAAAGCAGTAAGAAAATAATTTTGCTAACCCAACTCAACAACACTGATTGCAAAATTTACAGAATAAAGTTAATACAGTCTTGTCACTGGTGGAAAGAAAGTTAAAATTATATACTAACTCCTAACTTTCATGGTTGCCCAGCAAGAAACCTTGTAAGTATATTATCTACCTTAAAACAATGTTAGCTTGAGAGCATGAGAGTAAAAGGGGCCATTACAATCTCTGAAATGACTACCTATTTTTCTGTTTAAGCCCAGAATTTTACACTTAGCATCCAAGATATGGAAGCTAACAACTGACTGCTTGACAAAAAAATATATGTTAGAGTGTTACCAGTCATGTTATAAATGCTGAAGCACATGCATATAGCTAAACAGATGTCTTTATTTTGGTATCCCTGGAGTCAGAATTTTAGACCTGTACTTGTCTAGGCTCCTCATCGGTTATTGTGCATATCAGTCTCCACCTGATCAATTAAGGTGTCATCAGGCTGCACAACAGGCATTCTAAATAATGAGCAGCTACCAGCATTCACTCCCATAATCAAGTACAGAAACAAGCAGGAACATGATTAACTACATGGTTCAAAAACTGTCACATGGGACCAGGAAATGGCCCAGATTGGAAAGCCTTGTTCCAAAAGCCCACTCAAGCCAAAAAAAAAAAAAAAAAAAAAAAAAAAAGAACCAACCAACTAGTCTTTCCTGGCAGAGGCAGACCACCTGCATGCAAAAAAGACTTTAATCTAATATAAAAATTAGGATCTCCGTTGTCCCTTGCCTCTTTCAAAGCCAAGATGGGTCTGCTCCAGTATAACCAGTGTCCTTACATGCTCCGATTTTCCTAACAAGTAACCTTCAGATGTGTAGCAGCTTTGACTTTCAATCTAACCTCTACTGGGCAAAAAGTGATTAAGCTTTATGCTCCTCGTAACTCCATTTGTTCATTATGTAGGTCGATTTTCTTTCTTCTTTATTTTTTTCTCCTTCTTCCATAGGCTCTTTTTACCCTTAAAAGGAGCTGACAGCTTTCTGTGTGGTCAGCTAAAAGCAGCCAGTTTCAACACCAAACCTTAGCAAACATTCAAGGAATGTATTTAGGAAAAAACAGTAAAGAACGCAAGTCTTGCATTTCTTAGTACTGAAACATGACATCACTATTTTTGAAAGCAAGTATTTTGTACAATATTATGGATATGATCTCATTCATGACTTATTATTGGGCTTTTATTAATGACAGAACTTCTGAGCTCATTAGCAGTAGAATGGCAAGAGCTTTCACTCTTTTCATGTCACCTGCCTTTAGGTGACTTCATTTATATTGTTATTCAAGGCAGACTTTAAAATTAACCAGAGTGTAACTTATTCTAAGTGACAGAGCCTAATAAACACTGCACAGAACCAAACTGAAAATAGAGAAGTATTCCTAGCTGAGTTTCTATGAGAAATTATTGTTTTGGGAAGTACCTCTAATATAACTTACTGAACATTTCAGTAAACCAGCTGAAAAAGACCATAATACAACTGCTTTTCTGCACTTCAAATTTGTGTGTCTTATGAGAGATTGCACTGCTAGGAGTCAGGGAGGGATAAAGTTCCATGAAATATTTTCAATAGCATCATCAGTATTTCTGTTTTGAACAGAAGCTGAGAACATGTGGAAACTGGACGAATACTAAAATTTAGTCACTGCTGAGCTGCCCTATAGCCTGGGATCTCCATAAGCTTATCTGCTAGTGTTCACTCCACTGTTTGCAGGGGGGCTCTGTTTTAGCATAGAAACTAGTAATTTTTTATTTCAGACTAGAGTTATTTGCATGAAGATTAACTACAGCAAGAATACCTTGCCTGGAACACTTCCCAGAATAATTATACCATGGACAGGCATTTCTTTCTCCAATACACAGCAACCAGTAAGCCTCTGAAAACAATCCTTTCAAACAGCACAGATAATTTCTTTCCACTTTCCCATTCCTTTCTGGATGGAAATAAATTCACAGCTTGGAAAATCGACCAACAAACTCAAAACCATGAAATGCAAAATATTTTACATTTGCAACTCAAACCACAAAAAAACATGAACAGGTAATAATTCTGGTTTCTGTGACCTATCTGACAATTCAGTACAAGAAACATGTAATACTGGAGAGTAGAAACCTGCACTATGTAATAAACTCAAACCCAACAATTGCTAAACAAAAATACAAATATTTAGCTTTTCTGCTGCATTTTGCATCCCAATCTTCTTTACCTTAGCTATCATCCAGGCACAGAGTTATGCCGATATATGCTTTCCCCAGCACAAATAAAAATTAATCACACTGAAGACAGGCACCCAAGAAAATATTTGGAATAAGCTGAGGGAGTGAAGTCCAGGAAGCCTCTCCCTTAGCTGCAGACTACTCCAGATTTTTTTCTTTTGGAATTATTACAGCATAAAAAAATGGTTCCACCATTCTTCTGACAACACACTCTTAATATCTCTGGAAAGATAGCATCTTGGAGCAGGTTTCTGCATCAGCCAGTTGTGACCTTGGATTGTTCAAAATGCATCTGAGTGAAAAAAAAATTGAACAATTCGACATCGAATGTTCCTCACCCATTCTTTTCTCAGATATGGCAATAACGCTGTGCCAACAAACACATAAATTATTTCCTCTTTCACTTAATCAGAATTAATTAATTAATTATGTCCTTTAAGGTCACTTACAAGAACAGTTGCAATCCCTTACTCCATGTGGAAACAGCAGCATGGTCTTTAACACTGCATTTTTGTTTGCACTGACTACGCGTTGGCCAATTGTTCAATTAAGCAATTACTATACAGGGCTGCAATGTTTCTGTTTAGCTTGCAAGCTGCTTACTATAAGCTTAGTGTTAAATATTTCTCAGCAACATTTTGAGTAGAAACACAATTCTGGAAAGGGCTTTTGTCTTTGAAAGAATCACTTTTAATTATTACCTAAAGAGATACCACGTTATTTGTCCAATTTGCAACTCCGTCTCCAAAAAATCACACAATTTTCTACTTTCAAGTAGGTAAAAACGATCTACTTGCTATCACTGGTATACCCAGCAGTGAGTAGACATTTACTGAAAAGCCATATTGTTATACAGCTGAAGAACAACTCAAAATTTCAACAATTTTCTCCCTTATTTAAAGCTTAAACACTATGGAGATAACCACCTTTTCGAGAAAAGGTCAGTGTTGCACTCTTCCAGTATTAGAATGCTGGGTTTCTTGAACTATGTACTGTGCAAAAGATATAATTTATAACCCTTGAAAATTTTTGCTAATGAAACCAGCCAAAGGAGGACTGGTTAGCAAAATTCTAATTCTAGGCATTTGTCTTTTATGAAAAGTTGAACTGTCATCCTGGTGCCAATTATCACCTATGAAGCTCTTGGTCTTGGAGGAATCCAAAGGGCTTGGTATTGTTACTGGTTCCTGTCTTTCCCGTGCAGTGTTATACCTGGGCACTTTTTTAAAATGACCAGCTAATGAGTAAGATGAATTCTGGCTTTTAAAAGCAAGTTTTGCTTGAGCACCACAAGTGCCATCCCTATGGTGGCAGATGAACCTCACTTAGACAAATGGAGCAACTGAGATTGACACTAGCAAATAGATGGCATGCCTTTATCTTTCTCCTTGTTTACTACTGCATGTGGTAAAGGTGAACGTTTTAAGAATTACAAAATGCAACAAAAACACCCTGTAATTTTATCAAAAGTGATGGAAAAAAACACGCTCAAGTGCAGTGACAAAGAAAATAGAATAAAGAACATGAAAAGATGACCTCATAAAATGGGAGACTCCAAATATCAGCTCCTCTCGGTTGCCACCTATCTGACTTGTACTGGAGAAAGAAATGGCAGCTTGCTTGTACTGGCAGCAATAACACCATATAAAACAATGTATTATTGTACATTATTATAGTAATGTAACATTACACAGCTTGAATGCGGTTCTTCTGGGATCTGAACTTTCTCATCTCAGACAATAAGTCCCTGTTTGATTATAAAATACTCCTATTCTGTTCCAAATTACACTTCTGAAATATGCCAAAGTATGTTAATAGCTGATGAATGCAACAATTTTCAACATATAAAGTACCATGATGTAGACTGAAAGAGCAGGGGTCAAAAACATAAAGATTACGATGTACTTATGCAATCTCTCAAGTATGGCACACAGAGGAGCACAGAGAATTAACAGACACTGTCACATCTCTGAACTACATCACCTTAATGCAAATGAATGAAGTGCAGAAGAAACAACTATTTTAAACAGTACATATCACTAAATAAGCTACTTATTTATAGTATTTTCTATATTACAAAACCCACGGATTAAACAATTACATAGCTGGAACTCTGCAGGCCACTTAGCACTGAGCGCTCTCTCCCACAAGATTTATAGCGACAATTTCAACAGAACCAAGGTAGGACAATAGCTTAAAAAAGTCTCATCCTGTAATTCAACCCAAGTTATTAGTTCGGAAGCTGGATATGCACATTGAGATTGATTTTATGGCACTGTCTGTAGTTGCAGAGGAACAGATTTGAAAAGACAAAAGTTCTTGGAAGGGGTGTCTTATTATTTTTGCAGTTCTTCACAAAGAACAGTTCTAATATTCTATTAGAATATTCTAATATTGAAATTATTTAAGAATAGTTAATATTAACTATTAATAGAATTGTTTTGAATTATGTTAATATACCCTTTGAGAAAGCAATAGAAATTAATCTAAATTAATTTTAAATCTTCTCTTAAAAAAGATCAGATATTTTTATTTGAATCAATAGCCTTGACATTGACTTTTTCTTTAGAAGGTGACAGTAATTCTGAGCAATGGAGCCAAAAGGTGCACAGGATGTGATATTAGGGAAGACATTCACTCACAGAAGTTTCACAATGCACTTTTATAATTGTGCACAGCTCTCATTTATACCTGAAAATACTACATACTAGCAGCATTCCCCAAAATAGGAAGAAACACTTCCAATCTGGTTTTATATGGTGGCAGGCAGCAACGTTAATGTTCCTTATCCATACTAAAATAGACATAATGAATAGAAGATACTACATACAGACTGATATTTCAACAACTTCTAACATTGTTGTGTATGCTCTGCTCTTCTCCCCCCCAAGGGATTTCCAAAGCTTTTAAAAATACTTTGTGGTCTCCTAAAAGATCTCCAGTGAAGCCAAGAACCTTACCCTTGCTGCTTTCAAGCCTTTGGAAAATAAAATTGCTATTGCTAAGCATCTTTTGAAGATCTTTTAGGAGTGGTTCACAGATCTGGAGAGGTTCAGCAACTATAACTGAAAAACAAATCTGTAGATGGTATGAAAAGTAGTATTAAAAGTATCATTCCACAACAGTCTAGTATCTTGAGGGTTTCTTCTGCTCTCCTGTATCACCTTCACCATACTTACTCCACCTTCTGTCTTCCCCAGAAACGTAGGCTTTAGATGCTATAACTGTGGCTAGACAAGGAAAGAACTAACAGGAAGTAAAAGTATTTCTTGAAATAAGTACAAGAAAGATACTGTAAAAGAAAAGCCAAGTTAAAATCCCCAATCAACTCCTTCAAACTTTTTATATAATAGTTTCAGCAAGTAAATAAACTTGTTTATAATGTAACTTGGCAGCAACATCAATGACTTTGGGAAGATGGTATAAAAATGAAATGCCATTATTGAATATGATGTAGAAAAACTGTATTTGGCTTTTCATGCAAAATGTATGTAAATTTTTAAAGATGCTTTATTAAAAAATATAATGTAAGTAAAAATTAGGTCAGTTGTTACAAAACTTACTGATCTCTGTAGATCTACTGGGTACTGGAGGAGGCTGTGTACCATTGCGAGTAGGTGTTGATGACTGAGGGGATATGGGAGAAAAGGGAACCATATCAAAGATGTCAGTGGAGGGTGATTTAGGTGTCACACTGCCTGCCTACAATAAGGACAATATATATTAGGGCAATATTTCACAGGAAAAAGATCACAATACTGAATTCTTCAGCATGCAGATAAGAGCCACATTTTCAGAAAAGTTAAAAATAACCATCAGCATGCAAAAAACAGCTCCTGACACCAAGCAAATGGCATTTGCAGTTCAGAGTCTGAGACATGCTAAAACTCTCCAATATATAAGCAGCATTATAATTTTTCCATTTTCAGTCCATCTGGTACAGCCAGAAATGTATCACAGTTAAACCTGGAAAAGCTGGTGACAAGCAGTTCTCTATTGCAAACGTATGAATACAGACATGTTCACAAGACCTATTGAAGGTAATACCGCAACAACAATGTTATGCTCTGAAGCACACAGAAACAAGTAGCTACAATTAAAAGACAATCTCCATATTTCTTGTTTACTAATTCTTCCTTACATGATCACTTATCTGACAACCTAAAAAACCTGGTGTGATCAAAGCTTCAAATGTATTTTTTCATAAATAACAACCTAGACATGCAATACACTGAATATAAACATACAAAATAACATTCTCATCCTTGAATGTGAAACAGAATACATTTCGTTAGGAAGGCCCAGGAATTTGGAAGGGTTCAAAAAAATACTGCATAAGCATAGAAACCCCAAACCCAACAATCACTATGGTTCTACAGCCATATTTATTTTTGAATGATGCATTTCTCCTGTCATCAGTCCACTACTTTGGGACACAAACGAGGCACAGTCAGGTCAGAATAAACTGAACACTAAAGACAAATGATGAAATAGATTAAAACTGAGATTGACAAACTGAAGGCAAAATACATATGCAAAGCTACTTTGCATGTTAATGTTATTACTTAGACAATACCAAAAAAATCTACATTCTGTGTATTAGAGGGACTATAAAGCTAGGCAAAGGGAAAGCCTGCTGCTTTTGAATAAGATTCAATTTGACCAAAATATGCACATGAAAATTTTAAAGTGCAAGAAATTAATGACATGGATCCTTTCATTCAGAATACATGCATATGACAACCTTGCAAGCACATAGTCTTTAGCACTGCCAGTTCATGAGAGTTTCATGGTCCTAAACCTTATTTTGGAATGCTACTTTCTTTAGTGCCTCTGCTGCAGCAACTTAAGCTGTCCTCTGACAGGACATGTCATAGATTTCTAAACTAAATAATCTATAGGCAGCCCTAAACTACCTCTACATCTCTCTGGAGACTGCAGTGTCTGCTGAGAAGGAAACGATACTGATCCACAGTCTTCCACTGAATACACTGCTTAAAGAGAAAACTAGATTCTGAAGGCCTACATTTCCTATTTATTAGAAGTTTGGTATTTGTATTTTAAATTTGGATTAAGAGAGATCTAGAACTGTTCTAAAAAACCTGTGGTATTTCTGCCTAGGTATACTGAAGTATACCAAATGACATAAAACAAAAATATTCTCTCCGTCATGTTTCCCTGGCAAGACCACAGCTGAATTAACTTCATAAAATAACTAATATTTAAGATATTTACACACCCAGAACTCTTACTGACCTCAACATGAGTTAGCATCGCCATTTCAAAGATCATGTGTTGTGAAAAGATTTCAGTGCATAGTGTTTAGTTACAATAGGCTCTTATTGTTATGTTCATGGAAACTGCATTAACCTCCTGGCACCTTTGTGCATAGTCAGAGAACCGGTATTAAAGTCAGGGAGATCACTGGATGTCATCTGCTCCCACTCAAAGCAGAGCAACAGATGTGCTTGACCCAAAGTAAACATAAATTATCTCATATCCCTTTCTTCATTCAAACAAAACTCCCTCTCATTGTAGATAGGTTTTTGTCTGCATCAGGAAGGTGGCATTCAGATTTAATGTGTAAGTATATGCCATATATGAACCAACATTTCCAATCAACATTGATGGATAATCCTAGAATGTCTTGGAGACAGTAAATGCTAATGTAGACTCTCCTTATTTGCTAAGAGTTTATAGCTACCTAGAAGCTAGATAAACAAACAGTATTTATGTTTAGTTGTAAGTGAGTCTTTTGGGCAAAAAAAAAGCAAACCAAAGCTTTACACTGTCATTTCCTGTCTATATGCCATTTTGTTCAAGTTACTGGCCATTTTGATACTGATACAGCTAATTTAAATAAAACTATAATTCAGTAATTTTAAGAAATGTATATTTTGAATACATATGAGCACAAGAAGCATTTTATTTAGTGAACACATGCAGAAAGCCAGGATGTTTGCCAAATACAGCCAGATGTTACTTGCAAATGGAAGAAAAATTGAGAGTATAAGCATATTGCTATGAGAAAGCAGGCAATATGCCCATTTCATATTTAAGAATAATTTTCAATCTTCATTTTGCACAGAGTTTTTATAAAGTACGCTAAAAGGTATTTAATGGCTGATTGCTTTTCTATTAATTCATGAGGGGGGAAAGCCCTTGTAGTTGGACCTTGAGAACTGTTTGCTTTGAGTAACTATTTTTAATATAAACAATTTTAACAAAAGGCTGACAGAGAACACAGATTCAATGAATTAATGGATTAATTTAAACATGTTGGGAAGATAACATGTTGTTTTAGGGGTGGGAGAGAAAAAGCTATGTAGAAGTAAGAGTGAATCTTCATAAATCCTCTATTTTTAGAGTATCTCTAGAGAATCTAAGATACATCTGCTCTGTCCTTTAACCACTGTACAAAATGCACGTTTTTAATACAAGTTAACACACAACAGAGAACAAAGGAAAGCCAAAAAAAACTGAAAAAGGTTTTGCACAGCAGGATTACACGAGGTCTTGGGCAGCTGTATTCACTGGTTGGCTTTGGAAGACCACTTTTTGAAGGTGGTGGTATTAACAATCCAGATGGTAGTCTAGAGTCAGGAGAACTCCTAGGAGTAAGCGTAATGGAAGAGATATCTAAACAAGGAGGTGAATCCTCATTGTTACACCAGAAAAAAGTAGAGGGTCTTTGAAACATATGTTCATCATTATCACACTTTATGTGCAGCAGCTGAAAAGGAATCACAGAAAGAGAAAACATTCTGAGGAACAGAACGTGGTAATGTCAGGGAAAGAAGAAAAAACACCACATTTCATACTTCAAAAAAGTTTTGTCAGCAACTTGCTGTTTAGTGCTATAGTTACAAGATACAGAACTTGAAAATATTCTAAAACAAAATCTAAAAATATACCATAATAAGAAGTAACCCAGTGTTAACTGGAATGAAGACAACTTGCTCCTTGATAATTACACCAAATGAAATGAAAACAGGCATCTTTCCAGAAGTGGGTGTGTCAGATGCACTGACAACTGTCAAAATCCACCAACATATCAGCAATATCTCAAATCTGCGTATTTAAATAAGCAGGTAAGCACATATCTGGCGAGAAGAGTTACCCTGATGGTTAAAGCACAGGTCAGAATTTTCTTTCTCCAAACCAGGAAACACCTACCATTTATATCACACCAATATTTAAAAACATTTAACTAAGATGTTCTCACAGTAGAAGCTCTCTGTGCACAGATTTTAACATTTACATTAACACTAGACTTTGTTTCATTTCCCTATCTACAGAATATCAGAACCTAAACATTCATGGATACTAATGTCCTGCCATCTTTTCTGCGTGGATGAAAAACTCAAAGTTGGTATTTTCAGTAGGTATCTCAAAAGCTGAGACTTGTTGCAAAGGAAAGGAGTCTTCATGTCCCAACAACAGCAGCACAAGATGCAGGGCAGAATAAAACTTTGGTGCTAAGGAAATAAAAATGTTGTGGATTGTATGATTCTCTGGATCTCTTCGTAGATCCACAGAACAGCTTCAGAAGCAAATGAGTAATACCCACACCAGAATACTACAGAGGATAAGAGGGTTCACCTAATAAGACAAAGTGGTAACTGCAAGGTTCTGGTCTGAATTAGGCAGACAAGAACCTGCAGCAGGCTGCCTCATATGACTGGGCAGCATTTAACTGTACATTGCAGCAAGATTCACTGTGTATCGAGAGTGAAACTGAGGGCTTTGTCCACTTCAATAATAAACAAAACCCCTTTTTTGCTTCAATGGGAAATATCTGCACCCTGGAAGTTTTCAAAAGAAATGGAACTTGTCTACGTGAAATTAGATAAAGAGAGCCCTTAGGACTGATCCTGGAAAGAAAAGTGTAAAAGGAAATTCTTTTTAAAATATTTAAGAAACATGCCCAAACAATCATTCTGTTGGGGCCAAGTTGTAATTTCTACCTCAAAATCTGAGGGAAAAAAGGCTTCAGACAGTTAAAACAAGGCTTTAGAGGGCAGATTTATCTTTGAATCTTAACAGATTAAACACTTGCGCAGAGAGTTCTTGGCTAGAGACAAGAGTTTCTACACTGAGAAGGCAGGAAATGGATCTGTAGGTATCTCACCTAAAAACCCATCAACTTGCCCAGGCTGAAGCAGTGGTAGATATGTGCAGCAAAAATTCTGAAATCTGCTTTTACTCTCCTCATAGAGTGTTACACAATCGATGTGACATGCTTATTTCATTAGAAGTCTGCAAAACTCCAGTAGAGCAGGATTTAATCAATGACTTTTTAAAGCATTTTTTTCAGAGTTATGTAGAAAACAAAACATTTTAAATCATTTTAAACTGAGTCTTAGTTCCTTTCTTCACTTTCTTTACAGATAAGCCAGGTAAGGGCACAGGTATCCAAATTTAGTAACAAGGCCATACTTATGAGAACACCAGCAAAGATAACAAAACTCTCTATTCAAAATTTGTATTCATAAGAAAAAAAGTTTTAATCACAATTGCAAAGAACTCATCTGTAGATGAGCTGAAATTGTGAAATAAAGGGTTTGAAATGGTAATCAATAAAAATTAAAGCAAAAAAAAATGACACAGCATTTTCATTATTATTTCAAGTTTCAGTAGACTACAGGTAGACGACTTGCAATGTGATGCTACCATGTACTTGCTGCTATACATATATATGGAAAAAATAGATCTCATGATAATAAAACACTGGAAGATACTAAATACAGTCAAATTAAGAAAGCAAAATATTTCCCTGAAATGCAAAACAACAAAGGATGAGTAGTTTCCATAAAAATGCATGTGTAACACATGGAAAATCATACCAAAACCAGCAAAACGCACACAGGATGCAAAGCAGCAAAACTGTAAGGACGATGAACTTATATCAAATCCAGGCAATGACAGGTGTCAATACAGAATGGGAATACACACTATTTGTATCATTTGAGCCCTGAATGTTGAGCAGTCACGTTTCCTCCTATTTATCGGATAAGAGATAATCTTAGGATATTTCATGCTGTACAACATGTCGAGCTTCATATGACAGTTTAGGGAATGTGTCTTATCAATAATGAATTATCACTAGTAATCTTTCATTGTACTAGTAATCCTCCTGTCCTATAGTGCAGTACAGAAGTGCACCACCAGGCACTGAGACTTGTGTTGTGAGTGCTGTTCTGTGGGTGCATCTCATGACCAGAAAGACCTGTGAGGCTGCCAGTGGCTTTCTGCTTACAGCCCTATGTATCCAAGCAGCCACAGACAGGACAGGTACAGCAAGGAAGTGTACTCAACAGTGAAAAATAATAATTGAAAGGTGACAAAGAGAAGAATTGCACAGAAGGCTTTTAAAATTGTAGGAAACATCACCAGATTAAAAAAAGGCAGAAGGGAATAGATCCTCACTCTAAAGAACACAACCTCAAAAAGGTATAACTTCTGAAACTTAATAGTCTTATACCAGATTATAAAGGAAGAAAATACAGTAAAAATGTATTAAATTGCCATGTTATATGGAAAATATATTTTGTCTGAACTTCCCCTTGTGTAACACTGAATGTGTAGTATTGGTCAGACTGATATATTACTTCGCAATTTGGACCCCATTTCATCAACACAGGGAAACAACATGGAATAGTTCTTAATGAAATTACCATACTAGTTCAGTGGACCTGGTCTCTATTATGATTAGATGTTATTATGTGCCTGTCAAAGGATTTATTTTTGACTCAGTCCACTTAGCATGATGCTGAAGATGCACTGTTTGGCTGCATCATACTAGAAAATGTAGTATGATTGAGTTTTTGTTAATCAAGAAATAATTTCAAAATTGTTTGTTTTTACCAGGTGTCTCAAGATATTGATTGCAGTCTCTGTGTCATAGCCCCACAGGAATCACATAAGTATATTAATGATTTAGAAAATGTTTTTCTTCCTTAGAACATTCAGGCTAGTAATATACAGAACAGTCACAGTGGATAACTGCAGTGAATGTTACAGGGAACTGTGCATGACCTTGAATTGGAAATTACGGTTTGGTGCAAAACCACTGATTACAAACTACCTGAGATTTGGGACTACTAAGGATATATTAATTTACTAATTCATAAAATACTGTATAAGTATTAGCAGTTTCATTAATTAACTGCTACATCTTAGTATTTTTTCAGTATAATGAAATCTGACATAGACAACTTCAAATTTATTATTTTTAACACCACAAACAGAATTTTAAACCCTCATGAAGAAGTGCTCACTGAACTGAATACAGAATATTATAAAATTCAAAGACCAGAAGATAGGCAAAGAAAAAACATTTTCTCACTTGGCAGTCCTAATGGAAACATGAATCAAGTGACATGCCTAAACACATTCCAAAACCATTTCCTGAAATACGCATACAGTTCCAATGTCTATCTTGGGGTTTTCTCATGAGGGTGTTAAAGCTTCTTAATGAGGATAATAGGTGCAGGTGGCCTATGCTTCTAAGTCACAATTATTAAAGAACTTTCTAAAAGGGTCTAATCAATCAGTACCTTTAATGCTCCATTAAAAAAAAGGAGGGGGTTTGCAACACTGCCATGATAGGAATACTTATTATATACTACCTCTTTGATAATACTTATGGTGAATGGAAGAACACAGCTCCTTTTGGGGCTGTTTCTCCCAATACCTTTTCCTGCTGCCTTTCAATTCTGCTTCTCTCATATTTCACTGTTCTCTCAAGTTATTTTCCTGAATATTCCTGTTTTCTTCTAGCTAAATTGAGAGTCATGCAGTTGTCACAATCTTTTTCTCTGCCTTAAACATGTTGCTCAGGGAGAAAATCGTAAAGGCATGCCTGATAAACTTCAGCCAAGCCCAAAAAAGATTAAAATTCTCTCATCAGAGGTTCCTTGGTGACCTACAATGGTTTACCGTTCAGTCGGCTATGAAAACTGAGGGTGCTAACCCACACAGAGGCTGTGTGGACAGCTAACCAAGGCCACTTTAGGCAACACTAGCAATATAAATAGCAAAAAAAAGACGTCATGTGAAACAGTGCTCCCAGGGATGCACTGATCTTTGGAGGTTGGATTTACACATAGCAACAGCATCCAAAGCCTTAGTGTGATACAAACTTGAGCAGCATCATCATAAGCAAACAACAAAACGAAAATCAGATTGTCCTCATATAATCAAGACCAAATGCAAAAAAGACCAGTGACTAATGTATTGCCAAGCCACTAAACCAGATGAAAAGTAAACAGCACAAGATATAAAAGTAATGGAAACTTTAACTGTACATGCAACAAAGCGAGAGACAAAAGAAACATCCCATGCCAACATTTCCCATGGCACATGTAAGCACAGCTATAAAGGCAAACTTCTCAAAGGAAACTCCTAGTTTGGTATAGTATGTCCTTGACAGATCATTTCAGGAAATGAAAAAAAATGAGCATTTCTATTGCATAACAATTCTGTATTGGCAAATATAGATATTTATAGATAAAACTTTTAAAAGTTTTAGCAAGACTAGCACAATTAAAAACATTTACCAAAAGCAGAAAAAATGTTCACTAAGTAGTTTATTATTTACTGATATGCTAAATAAACTTAAATCTAAATAGTTACAATACCCTGAGAGAAAAAGCATGCAGAATATTAATAATTTAATGTTCAACTTTCACAGTATTTTTTATGTGAAAGTATTTGATTATACAACCTAGTTTTCTTTTTTTTTTTTTTTTTCATTTCCAACTATGAACTCATTGCTTTTAATGGCTTCTTTTATAGGTTCAGAAAGAAATTCATTTTCCCCCATACAGTTTATGAACTGATAGAAAAAGTTCCTAAATTCGATTGATGTTGATTTGGCCATATGGCTAGTTTTAGAACAACCACAGAAAAATTTTCATTGTGATACTAATAACCAAGTAACAAGACATTTCTGACACCAAATGTATCCTTCAAAAGCAGAAGCCTACTGCTGTCAATACTTTGCACCTGCTTAAACATTGCAAAAATGTAAATGGTACTTAATTGCATGTATATAGTTTGCACCAATTTCAGTCTGCCAGTATTTTAAAATAAATCCTCAAATGAACCCTTATATGGCCTGCAAAAAATCTGCAGTACAAGCAATAAGAATCAGGAAAGTAGTTTTAGATTAGATTTCCCTTTGTATTTCCCAAACAATCCTGTAACTTGCAATCCTTTGAACTGGAGAGAGAAAAGTCATCCCTCATTATTTAATAATTACTATTTTCAATTTTCACATGAGCAGATTTTTTTTTTAAATGGTAGAAATGGCTTTTAAAAAAACCCCAACAACTGTGTCAAGGATCACTGAAATAATACAAAAAGAACTGAACTTAAAATTTTTGAAGATATTTTCGACCTACTTCATTTCATTAAAAATTAATGGAAGACTAATGTGTCTAGAATAATTAAAGACATAAAAATCAATCAGCTTCATAAGGAACAAGCAGGAGTAAAGAAAGGATAGACTGGCATTGCATACAAATGATACGATGGTTTCTTAGTTACTGACAAGCAGGAAAGACATTCTGTCCTAGATCAGTATTTTAACAAATAAAGCATGACAGTGACGTCACTTGGCGTCTGTAACAGCACTGTTTCACATTACAGGTGCAATAAATATCCCTAAGTCTTATCTCATGGCGAAAGAAAATACACACTCATTGTCAGCCTGAAATGATGCCTGCTTAATAATGATGCCTCCACATGGCTTGCAGTTCCCCTTCCATAGGGATGGGGATTGAAGGAGAAGATGACATAGCCCACAATGTGATTTCAGTGTTTATATTTGTCATGTTCTGTGAACTGTCATCACAGGCACTTGCAACATCTTTTGTTTCTTTAATTTGTTTAATCAAGTAAGAACTTGTTTAATCAAGTTGCTAGTGTTGGCTTCTGAAGTGCTAAATCAATTGCTGATTACAAAGTATTTCTGTGTCTGTGCATTAATCACTAAAGGAAGAGCACAGTCAACTACCTATAAAACAGGAAAGCCATTGCAGCACATCTGGCAAACGCTGAGAAAGCACAAACAGCATGCAAACAACCAAATACAAAAAGGAAAGCATAAGATATGAAAATCCAAGGTACTATTTAAGCATGACAGAAGCAACTTCATAACCATCTGTAGCTGGCTCCTGAAACTGAACATCTCTCTACAAATTTCTGTGATGCCAGTTAATAACACATGTACTTGTATTAGGTATCAAGTATTAGGGCTTAAACTTTCCATTGATCATTTAACAATCTGTCCCTAGATTTCAGCATACAGAGTAAACATCAAACTGGACTGATAGATAAGGAGTTATAGCGATATCAAATGAATTAAATAGAAATAAATCAAATCCCTTATTATGTCTAAAAAAGCTTCAGAGATCTCTTGTATGACACTGGCATCTCTTTTGAATTCAATAGCGTGGATATGAGAGTTATGAGAAAACCTGAAAACTATAGATTAATAAATCTGTTTTAAATCACAAGAATGATTATGTTCTGTTCATAGCATGCAAAACAGTATCTGCAGGGAAGCAGGTATTCCCCCATCTAAACACAAGTGCTTAGGAAATGACTCAGAGGAGATATTATTCCCCATGTTGGATATTCTGCTTCATTATGTAAGTAATTTAATTCAGTATTTGACAAAATACTACCAATTTTACTCTGACAAAATGATCACAACAGAGAACTGCTATTTTTCTTTTCTAATTATGAAGACATAGAGCAGCAATAGTACAGATATTTTCAACCATATGGTACTTAAAAGTTTTAGATTTAAATTCAGTCACATAAAAATCTCTAATAACTTTAAAACTGAAGTGATCTTTTTCATCACTGAAATTATGCAGAAATAGAGGAAAATATTATTTGCACCACTTCTGTTTTTTTCTAATAGGAGCTGAGATTTTGCAATGTCATGCTTGAAATGATAGTTGATTTGAATTAAAACTGTACAAAATTAATTGCAAACTATAAGCAGCAATCAATTGTCTTATGTATTGTAACTTCCTTCTTTCATACATATTTATTGCTCACACAGTAAAAGAAGAGATAGCAGTGGATGTGATATGATGATACCTATTTCAGGCACTTTGATTTATGATCCCTTTATCAGACGCAAACTGTCTTAAAAATATTTATGCTTCCTTTTCCCTGAAGTCAGTTCATAACCTCACTAATCCTTTCCTTCATTTATTTTCAACCTAATGGTTGCATTTATATGTACTTACTCTTATGCTAGCCCCATTAGTAGCTCTGATTTACAAAGTACACAATCCAGTTTAAAACATACCTACTTGAATGGTGTCTCTTTTTAAGGTACAAAAGATAGTGTTTGGGGGATGCAGTTATGTTCCTAGATTTGAGATAGATACTTGCCTGAAAATGGTTTTGGGTTTTTTTGTTTGGTTGGTTTGGTTTTGTTTGTTTTTGTGGGTTTTTTTTTTTTTTCCTTTCCCCTATTGTTGGCTACATGAAGAATCAGATAAGACAAAAGTAGCTTAATCCAAACTCCTGCCTGAAGCAGAATTCAATTAGCTGAAGCTGCTGAGGACTATGTCCAGGAATTTTTAAATATCTCCAAAAGTACAGATAGCTCCAACCTCTCTGGGCAACCTGTTCCAATCCAATATTTATTAATTTATATATATATATATATATCTATTTTGTGGTAGAATTGATTTAGATATTAAATAGGCTGTTAGATTGCTCTTACAGCAATTCTAATCATGAGTAAACTCAAGAAATTTGTGACAGGAAATGTCTGTGGTTTTCTTTTTAAAGATTAAGGAATAAATAAAGCAATAAAATTGTATGTGAAAACTAACAGGAGGTAGTGATTTATTAAAATAAATTAATATTTTAATATAATTATCAATATTATATAATTTTGTTGCAGCATAAGTACTATTTAAGCAATATGTATATTCCTTGTACCAATAGTAATTAACAATAAAACACCACCTAGGGAGTGAATTTACAAATAGCTGGTAAATTTACAATTTTAGATCTTAACTCTTTGATAAGGAATGATACAGCATTGTCTTAGACATATCACAAACTACAGGATTTTTTTTGGTCATTATAAATAATTTTAAGGTTTTTGCTAAATGCAATTATCACATTCTTCATTAATTTAAATGAAAAAGAAATGCATCTATCACACGGGACTTATGAGTCTGTTTAACTGAATTTAAAGATACATTTAGTTATCATATTCACTAAAAAAACCAAACTAGCTGCCATCCCAACTGAGGAAAACTTAAAAATTAAAGAACTGACTAAATTGATTTTAAATCTAGCATTAAAGTTGATTACCTATCACTGAATGCTTCATAAGTGAGAAGACATTCATAATTTACAGTTTTCACTGTGGCAGTTACACAGTATTTATAATTTATGGTGTTCTCTCTTCTAAATAGATTTGAGTAAAATGAGATGATAATTACTCATGGGTACAACCATCTAATCAATATCAAGGGAGGGTACAGACAGGATTGAAAAATTGTCATCACCATTATAAACATACTTTTTACACTGCCCAAATTTCTAGACATCCATTTAAAGTGAAATGGTGCACCTCCAGGGCAGGGACAAGGTGGCCCAAAACGCACAGCTCAAAAGCAGTCCATGCTTTTCTAAGATTTTGCTAGATGCACATTAAGAAATTTTATTTATTTTCACAGTTACCTAATACTGTATAGATAGAATATACCTGTAAGAAGAGGGGAGTCATTAGGGTCAGTTTGCAATGCAACCTGCATTTTTAGAGGTCCTGACTAGCTATAAATGTGATTTAGTCATCTAAAAATAATTCTGTTTGATCATCTATTGGAACTGCAGAACACGTAAGAAATTTCCAATGGTGAGGAACCCCCACTTGCTCCTTTTTACCTATTCACCCACTGTTATTTCCTGAGACCTAATGACTCCTTTGAAAGACACAAGATTTTTTGAAAGTCATTTAGAAAATGTCAGTAGTAAGTGACAATATGTTTGTGACAGAAAGTTCCTAAAAAAATCCCAAGTAGCATTCTTGAACCAGATACTTCAAGTGCAGAACAAAGTTCTTCATTCTTAGCTGGCATGCTTAGATGTCTACTAGAATGATTATTTACTGTCTTTAGGCAGGAACAAATAGATATGGTGACGGGATTAAAGAACCACAATTTGAGAGACTGCAATTTGCATTTTTGTTGGCTTGTCACAATCTTACTGTTACTTCAATACTGCATTTCAACAGATATGTTATATGATCACTGTTAATCATAATCATTGGAAAAAACATGGATACTAATAATTATCATAAGATAATGATTATAAATATAGAGTAACTTCAGATATGAGAGTTATGATCATGTACTTACTGGAGATGCATGTACTTGTGTTATTCTTAACTGATTTTCCAAATCTTGAACTTTATTTTTCAGTTCTGTGTTTTCAGTTTCTAGTTCTTGAATCTACAAAGCAAGTAGTTATTGCAATAGCTATTGGGATATTCATTCATTTCAAAAGTGTCCATTGAGAGCAATTTTAGCTGAGATCTGGCAATTTAAAAGCAGTGTTTTACTAATTATCTGATCACAAAAAGTAATCAAACTTCTGTATCTTCCACATTTCAACCTTGCTAGTCTCTTTAATGACCCTGCAAGATGGCAAAAGATACTACTGTTTCACAGTATCAGGTCTTTTTTCAGTTTTCTTTCTTTAGTATCTGTTGCAATTCTTAGCAATCTAAGAATAATGCTGGAAATTATACTATCATAGAAAGCAGGTAACTCAAAAGTTCGTTAAAACGCATAGTTCAGAACTTACTCTTTTCTGTAAACCTGCAATTTGTTTCCTTGTTTCAACATCTTTTCCTCCAGATTCCAGAAATTTCCTGTAAGCTAAGTCAAATGCTTGGCCAATTGTTAAAGTTATCTCTTCCGCCTTTATATAAAACATAAGAAAGAAATTAGTATATTAAGAATATTTTATATAATTACTTTAATTTCAGATGACCACAAAATACATTACATCGTGTATCATGTTCAAAGGATTTACTTCACCCATTGTGAAGGCAACACTAGAGAGGAGCATGACAAACACTCTTCAGCAAAATACCTTGACAGAAATGCTATGAAAGTAACTTAAAAACACTTCAGATGAAGAAGGAAGACTGAAGAGGCAGAATGCAATTAGATAATTTTTAGCATAAATTATGCCTCCAATTCCTGTAAATACAGATAGCGTGCTTCAGTATGTCTTTTTCTGATGATTTCTGAAGTAAATACAAGCTTTTCAATTATTAAACAAATTGGTTTGGTTTTAATGGCTTCATATTTTCATGTTAATGGATGTTTTGACCCCTTTTACTTTTAAATTTGGACTTCAACACTTATTTTTACATATCCTATAATGGTCAATCAGCATAGCATAGATAAATGTATTTATCTGTACAAGTATTTCTGATTACCAAAATCCAACCAAACAGAATTTGCATTTGTATGTGCAAAATATAATAATTTAGTAGTTTTATGCTGAGTAGTATCCTATGTTGTGTATACACAGTCTGTGCAGAAAATCTACTTTAAAAATAAAGGTAACAATAAGTCTATAAGAAGTTGATTGAGCACACCAAGGTTCCAAAAAAAAAAAAAAAAAAAAAAGGGACCATTTGCCTTAGAACTTCAGTAGAGAAAGTAAACACAGTAGATAATAACATTTTTAATTTTTAAAACAATTTGACAGGGGAACAAAAAAAAAAAACCCAAACAACAAAACCCACATTAATCTGGCTCAAGATAAACTAGAATTTTCTTGTCTTTATTGAAAAGAAAATCTGAAATTGCTTTTTTCTCATGAAAGCAAGAGTATTCTGCCCAATGCTGAGAAGACTTTTCCTTCACTAGCTGTAAGAACATGAAGGGCTGGATGCAAAAAAATGGTACAGAATGTGATGCTCCCAGCCTTTTATCCATCAGTGTCCAACATTGTCATTCAGTAGAGGTGTGTGAAGACCTGAGTTCTACAGGAATGGGGAATTAACTCCTCTTTTTACTCCGAAAAAAACACATATGGCCACCTTTATTAAAGAAATCCCAAAACATCACAAATGATTATCTTAACTAAATCAAGACTGAATTAGACAAAAAAGCTGAACTAGGACTGCTTTAGAGAATAACTGTTTATGTTAGTAAAAGGAAAGTGTAATGCACACTAGGAGCATGCAGTCCTATCTTCCTGGAAAGATGAAGGTTGGCTGAAATGAAAAGTACCAAATGAGGTGGGATCCTTTGAAATCTGAGAGTACTAATGAACAAAGGAAATGGAGGAAAAAAGTACAGTAAGTGAAATATCAAGTTAGAGCAAAAGAAACAGTGCATTAGTCTGGAATAAAAATGGTACTAGTGTGCAGAGACTTCCAGAGCAATTTAAAATCATGGGAATAGGCGAAAAAGAGGTGCAGGATAGAAAGAGAATCGAACAGATGTGTATAACAATTCTGAACAATATCTACTGAAGGCACTGGAGCAATGCAGGTGAATAATTCAGAAATACTGGGAAGTAACACATAATGCTACATAATTGCACATATATAGAAGTGAATATGCATCTTTTTCTTAAAGAAAAAAAAAGTTTCCTTAATATGATTATCTCAAGATACTTCAGAATAATACAAAAAGAGAGACTCCAGATTTTAAAAAACCCTAAATATCAATTTTTGGTGTTGATTCCAATGTTTTTATTTGTTAATTATTTTCTGCCAGGGTAAACACATGACCCTGTTTCAGCTAGACACCATTTTCTTAATTTCCTGTCCTAAAGTATTTTTTTTCTCCTATTGAACATTTTTGAACAGTTGCCCCGTTCTCTCAGACACAAGAGAATGTCAGTGGTTGGTGCAATGAATTCTCTTTTAGTGCATCATGGCATTAACAAACTTGAAAGACATGGCAGGGGGAAGGCAGAGAAGGAGGAACCTTGCCGTAAAAAAAAAAAATAAAATTCTGAGGCAGACACATCAGCAGAAGAGTCTGAGGGTATCTCAGCCACAGGGTTGCAGCAATCTCTGCAAAACAGCTGTGAAAACATTTCAAGCTTGGTGGGATGCAGTCTGTTCTCAGAGTATTGCAGATGCTTGGCCTAGGATAAGAATTGTCCCAGAAAACCACCTTAGGATCAATGAAGAAAAAGGCTCTTCTTTCAATTAATGCATCTAAGTTACAAGACACTGTATTACCATGAAAGATTATACTAAAGTGACTCCAATTAAAAGGCAGGCTACCCACCTTTATTAATCGTCCCTAGTTTATTTCAAAGCAGATCAATCAAAGCCCGTAATTCTTTCAGTGTCTTGCATACTTACACACTTTTCACTGTCAAATACATAGCACAGATGCTTATTTGATTCGGAATCTTTGCATATGAAAGTAAATATTCTCTTGTCCGTTTTATCATCAGCACAAAATGATATCCTATGGAGTTGACAATTGTGTTGGACTTCCTGCAAATAAAAAGAAAGATTATTTAAAAAAAAAACCCCTACTATACTTGTTTAGGATAAAGATGCGCAAATAAATCTGAATTTCCTAATGTACATAAGATCAGGCAAGTTGCATTAACATTTTTTTAATGTCTCTCACTGTACACGAGAACACCCAAAAAATGGACTGAATGTAAGCAGGAAGTTTTTATTTGGACAGCATTTATCTGGAAATGTTTCGATAGTAATTTCTGTTCTAGAAAATTGGTTTTCCTATTGCTTTGCATCCCTGTGCAATTTATTTAGGGACTGATTATGTAAAATATTCTGTTCTTTTTCCAGGTGCACACCATCTTCAGATTTCATCATCTCCCAGGGTTTGTTAAAATGGTTTTACTGAAATGAGTCCTTATATTTTTATCTTAGATATAGCAAACAGAAATAAAATGACTTTGTTATCCAAAAAAAGGGGCACAGAGAACCAAGTTAGACATCTAAATAATTACTTACTTAAGCGCAACATAAACAGCTTTTAAACATTATTATTTGCATATTTTCAATACTGTATTTTACTTTCCATTAAAAAGCATGTTCCAGCTATTAAAAAAGTTGCAGTGGTAATGCTCTTCAGCTGAGAGAGCTTGACAAGACTGAAATAAACTATCTGAACTATTTTTTTTTGTTGTTTTTCTTCAACAAGTCTCTTCTTGGTATTTTATTTTATTTGGCTTATTACATGGGAAAGCAGTATTTGCTTTAAAGGAAAATATGCAGTTTAGCTGTGAACTATTATCTATTTTAAAAGAAGAAAATTTCTGTGTAGCACCAGGGTTCCCAGATTGCCATAAGCTCATAAACAAAGGCATGCCCTCTCTGCACACAATCACTTATTTAAAAAATGTACCATATGGGCAATCTTTTCCCTTTGACCCAACTGGGTTCCTCTTCTCAGTCTTTACAGCCATTCTTCTGTGTATGCTATTTCTCCCATTGCCCCAGGTCTGTCTTGCATTCGATGTCTTTCTGTTGTAGCTCTAGCAGTTACACATAACAGCATATGCTTGTTCTGGCTCTTTCAGGGTTTACAGGTCCATAGAACTACTTTATATCATTTAAGGACTGAACCACTTCTCTATAATTTTCTTTTTTTGAGTGCCAAGTATAGAATCAAGTCCTGATACATAAGCAGGCCTCCTGTTCCTACCACAATTAATAGTGATTATGAACCAATATTCCTCTGTAACAATACTAAAGTGATTTGTTTCAAAAACACAATGAAAAAAATTACTGTAATCAGAGATGATAACATGGAATTTAAGTAATTTCCTAATGCATCTACAAATTGTGCAAAAATAAGGAAAACTTGATTCAAATTTACATTTACATACAGCTTTAAGAAACAAACTGGGGGAGATAAAAAGACTACTCATATTTGATTACCATCTGAGTTGTAACAACAAAATTTCTAAGAGACTAGAATTCTCCTATTCCCCCAGGAACTTCTGTCCCACAGCTTTCTGTTAATCTCTTCAGGAAGACTTAGGAAGGCTAACATATTTTGGCATCTAAAACTATTATTTTAAAGCAGTTTTTGTCAGGATATGGTGTTTAGTACCTCTTTCTGCCCTATGACATAAGAAAGATGCAAAACCTGCAATTTAAGTTGATGAGGATATTTCTTTTCCCCTCTGCTTATGAACTGTTGAACTGTGGTTGTATCAACAGTCTGAAATGAATATGGATTGCAAATAGATACAGCCTTGCACTAAAGCTACCTTTTTTGCAAAAGGCAGTATAAGTGTCTAAACGGTAGCAACTACTCCAGAATTAGGAAGCAGTAACAAACAGTTCATTCAAATCCAACATTCAACATATGCATAAAAGATTTAAGAGCACTCAGATGTTAAGAATTGCTGACTACTGAATAAATACTTTTTAGCTTGGTTATATCTCATTATTCCTCTTTGAAGTCTGTGAGGAGGAAGTTTTGATAACTATATAACTCCTTCCAAAATATCAGAGCAAACAAAGGAACAGGGAAAACCATCCACAGGATGGCTCAATGCACTTAACTGCTGAAAATGCAGGGACTGTCATTCTGTGTCAGATGAAAAGCATACCAGAGCGCTTATGGGCTGCTACATGAAGTTTACAGAGAAATTAATAACACACATGGGAAATAAAAGCATTCTAAGGAGGCAAGATACAATTAAAAAAATAAATTTAAAAAATGAGAAATGGAGGGAAAAATGAACAGGTTAAGGAAAGAGATTCAATGCCAAAGCAGCAGCAGGAAGAATGAGTACTGCAAACAAATTGTCTCCTCACTCACCTCCAAACACCTACATGTGGGAACCTACATAATGGTGACTATTTGGAAAGATGTTTATGATATGCTGTGTTAACACATATTTACCACAATGTTTTCACCTTCCTCAGAGTTTAAAAGTTCCATTGTGAAAGGATTAATTACATCCCACATTAGCTACAGTCTGTATTTTGGAATATTACATATCTTTTCCTGGGAAGTTGTCACCCATGTGCTATAACAAGAAACGGTATTGTAGAAGAATTTTACATCAACTGAATAGCTTTAGTTATAATACTTTTTTAAAATATGAAACAATAAAAACACTAAAACCAGTTAAAACAGTATTTAATTACTAATGTAGCACCATAAACATATGTCTCTTACCTTTGTTTTTGGATCTAGAATTTTTACACCATAGATTGAGATTTGTAATTCAACTTTGGGAGTTTTCTGGCCTTCAGATTTCTTGATATGTCTTGCAAACTGTAAGATGAAAAATACAATAGCAATCACATTAACAATAACTTTTCTGATTTTTTTTTTTTATTACTTCTCATTTCCTCTCAACTCCTTCCACCTGAATTTGTTTCCTTCCTCCTTCAAAAAGCTCTTATAAACAATGCCAACCACTCCCAAAGTCTCAGCTGGGCACTGAACAAGGATTTCAGACTGCACTCTATAGAATATTATTATAATTCAAGAAAATAGATTTTAAAATTACTCAGCTGGTTCTCTTGAAACTTCTATCTGTTGTTTATGCACTTTACGCTTTTGCATGAGAACAGTAGAAACATGAACACTTTCAGGCAGTTTGACAACCACTTGGTTGTTGAGCAGTGAACATCATTCCACATCGCACTATTTCTACACCCACTTCTGTACACATGAACGGATGGTACTCTCCGTATGTTCCTCTAAGGAAATCAGTTATTTTAAACAGGTTCAGTGTGAAAGCACTAACAGCTGTCAACACCTAAAAAATACTTCATCTCTTCTATCATATTCTCAGGATTTATATGCTAACAGTTCACTAGATGATGGCTAGACAATATTTTATATGACTGGGTAAGGTAATGTGTCCTATTCAATACATTTTCCATCCTTTCATATCTCCTCTTCTAGGTGCTAGATCTGACTTGTCATTCTGTCATGAACACTGCATATAAAATAAGCAGAGTATTTAAAATTTGCGATTGCATGGCAGTTATGAAGTGTCATGAATTTGGGTAACTTTCTTAGCAAAGTTACAGAATTGCTCTATATTTTGCTCTGTCACCAGCTCTTTTCCTCAAGCATTTGACAACCTAGAATGGTATTTCCAAATGCATAAATAAGGATGATGACTCACTGAAGGCTAGAGGAATTGGAGTCTCTCCTTCACAGCTATATGTTTGAACACATCGTTCTCAGACTTGCTCCCACTCGAGTATAACTGAGCACACAATTCACCATCAGTACAAATAAACTATATAAAAAGTCAGTGAGGACAATGACTTTTAGTGGCATAAAGAGTCTAGAATGTCAACAAGGGTGCTAAGCTATCTTAAGGGCTAGACCTGGAAGACAGAAGCCAGAATTACCTTCTCATTGTGAAGTACTCGGCTGTAGTCAACTGATACCTCCCCTAAAAACACCTAATCCCCCGATTTTTATTTAAGCGATAGTTGAGGGTTTGGGTTTTTGCTCTCTCCCTACTCCTATGCCAACTAGTACTTGAGAAATCTATCCACTAAATCAACTGCTATACAAAATATGACTCTCTCCATCTATTTTATTTCATTTTGCTTGTAAGCAGCTCTGTTCATGGCAAAATATTAACTAGTTTTAAGTACAACCCTGAAAGCACATAAATCTGCCTCTCTTCAGTATCATGTATACTGAATACATGCAATATGCACACCCTTTCCCTGTCCTATTTATTGTCAAGCCCATTTCTCACATATTTAGAGTATACTTTTAATAAAGTTTAATGACTATACCCATCCCTTTATTTTAATTAAGGTGAGTCATCTTATACACATCTTTCTATTAAAAAAAATAATTTTACAGAAAATGAAATTAAAAAACCTAATCATTGGTTTACAGGTATTTTGGCCAAAAACATTTCTAGACTTTCTAGGACAATTAAAATTTGTTGGAAAAAAATAATTTTTTCTTACATAAAAATCTGACTCAAATTTTACACTACCAATTTAACCTGTTTGATTTGTATGTCTCTGCTTTAAAAAACAGGAAATTGATGGGCCAATCAATGTTTATTATCGCAGATTTTTTTCTCCAAGATGATTATAAAACAAAGTGTCTTTCTGATCAGTCTTGTACATTTACTTAATACCCTCACTCCATCAGCTTTCCTTCCTGATTTGTAATTTAATTATGTCCTTTCATTAGTTGAAACTTTGAGGACATATGTGGTCCCTTTTCATAGTACCACAGGGCTCTGCAATTGGCTCAGTTTACTACACATTAAATGGAATGACCACAAAAACTACAGATCAACTGGACAGTTTGGGCATCTCTTTCCAGTGTACTTCACAGTGCACAGAAAAAATACGTATGTAACAGGTAATCCTGGGGCACACCTCGATTTGGAACAGCCTTGAACTTGAGTGAACCCTGGCTTTTTGGAAATGTCCCTTTATAATCAAGATGCAAACGAGTATTCCTGTGCAGTAATGAAAGAGAGGCATAATACTTGTTTTTAATGAGTTAAAGCCATAGTGTATGTTGAGAATGATGACGAAATGCTTGGTTTTCCAACTGCAATCACCTCAGAGTCCCAAACAACAGCTACAACATGAAAACTTTTTAAAATAAGTAGGTCTAAAACTTGTGCAAGTTCTTTAGAACAGCTGGCCAAAGCTTGCTCCAAGTAGTCAAGAAGTCTTACAACACTGAGGAAGTTCCAGAAGATAATTCTGCGCCAATGCTAAAAAAAGGGTAAACAAAATGACCCTACCACGTCTCCACTCTCAAAAGGCATAAATCAAGTTCAAGAACTAGAGAATTCAAGTGAGATGAAATTAATGGTGATCAGTATGAATTTTACAAAAAATACAGGTCAAAATACACAAAACATTTGTCTGAGTTTTGCATGCTGTTACATTTAGGAAATGAAGCAATACAACAAAACTATTAGTTAAGTTAGTTACATTAGTCTCCAGATGCAGCTATAAACAGGAAATTGTCATTGGGAAGATATGTTTCTAATGTATTCCAGCAGGGTTTATTTCTTAAGCATGACATTATTGAACAATGACCAGGAGGGAAATAATTACTGATAAAGTCTGCAGGCAGGCAAAGTAAGAGGGAAACATGGGGAGAAAAGTAACTAATGATCTGCAATCTAAAATCATTACAGAGCAAGTTTGCATATCACAAAGTCTGATAGAGGGGCAAATAACACAGAGTACCTCACCAACCAGAACATCACAGATTGCCTTTATGCAAACCCATTTCTGTTGCAATACCAATACCAACTTTGCAATTCATACATATGGGTACAAACTTTCTTCCTTGGGTGACTACCCTGTGAAGATGGAATTAGGAAAGTCTAGATACCATGGTAGGCTCTCCATTAACTGTGGACCTTTTCCTTTCATGGAACTACAACTGGGAAGATTAATGCAATCCTTGGATATTTCAAAAAGATCCTCAAGACTACAATGTCTGCACTGCATCAGCTGCTTGTGAGAAACTACTCAAATTTTACGTTCTGGGGTTTTCAATTGCAGAAGGATGTTGACAAAATGGAGAAAGATCACAGCATATATGCAAAAGTTAGCAGAAGACTAGAAACTCACTTTATAGGAAATTCCATCAAATCAAAACCAAGCTAATGGTGAAAGAAAAACACAAAAGTATCTCTTCAACACAGGCAGCAAGAGACACAAGTCAGCTTTTTATCAAAGGTTTACTGGGATACAGTGACTGAAAAGTGCATGCAGAGAAATTCAGAAAATCTGGTGCAGTTACTTTCTTAATGCTTTTCCTGCCCACTCCCTGTTCTGTGTAATAACAGATAACATAGAGATACTGATCAGTAATTTCTTTCACATCTGACCTTCTCCAGAATGCCAAGTTCAGCCACCTCCTAAACTTGTGCAGGGTTCGAACAGCAGATCCCAACACTCAGATATCAGTCAATTTGCCTTTTTTCTTCTATTTTTTCTACTCACTCCTTCTACCTAAAGAGGAAAAGCTAGACGATCTTTAAGGTCGCTTCCAACCCAAAACAGTCTATGATTCCATGACCCTGAGTGACCTCTGGACAGGAAAGATTTATAAACATTATTTTCTCCTTTCAGTTCACATTTGAAACAAAGTAATAGTTGTAGCTTACACAGTAACAAGATTATTTAAGAGGGTAAAAATCTGTAGCCTCCCATTGGCATCAAAGTGGACAACGATATAAAATTACAATGAATCACAGCATGGCTTGGGAAGAGATATGATGGGCCAAGTTCTAAAGCTGTTAGTTTATACATATATTGTTCTCAGGCAAGGCATCCAGATTTGGCCCAATAATAATATGAGCAGTTCAGTGCGATGGGATAGTTTTTATTTAACTGGTTTGGAATTAACATGATATTTTTCTTGACTCTTTTAGGGAAAGCAACAGATACAAATAAATCAATTTTCAATGGTTTAATTTAGCTTTAAAAATTTTAAAAAGTTCCATATATCTTGTCTTTTAGTACAGTAGCAGGGAAAACTGCATACTTTGAGACTCTTACTAAAATTACATTTCAAATCCTTATACATCAAGTTTTAACAAACCACAATCAGGGGATTAATCATCAAAAATAACAAGGAAAAAAAAAATCACATTTTAAAAACACCCATGAGCTTTAGTGAAAGAAATAATGGTTAAAACAAGTTCTATCAAAATCAATTTAAGCTATGCAAATCAAAACTATGTGCTTTTATTTAATATTTACAGCTCATTGAACAATTCAAGTTTTTTTAAAAAAACTTGAAACAAAAGTAGACATTGCTGTGGTTTGGGTGCTAATCTGCAGGCCAGGGAGTAGAGGTTCATCTCCTTCAGTTTACACAGGCTGCCAGGGAGACACCAGAAATTGTACTTCATGTGGATACCTTAAAAGACGTCTGAGGGCAGCATAGTTCTCTAAGCTGAGAAATAGCTTTATACCTGGCTTTAACAAGATGCTTTTCCTTTTTTCATAACAACATTCATTATAAGGAAAGATGCCAGGAGGTAAAAAAAGCCCTATTTCTTCTGCAGTGACTACTTATCTTTTTGGTCATATTATTGTCCAAACTCTCATCCATGTTTCATGCAGGTATTATGAAATTATGAAATCTAAAAAATAGCTGTCAAGAAGAACAAAAGGATGAAAAGGCCACAGTCATTTGAACCTGAAACTCTTGATAGTGAGCTGGGTAGGGAAAAAGCTCTCTCCAAAATCCACTTTTAAGGAGTATATTATATTTTCCAAATTCACATTGGACTGAGGGGAAGGCTATTGATCTATTAATCACAGGGTAGAAGACAATGCAGTAGTCTTTTTTCCATCTCTCACTCCCTGAAGGTTTTTTTGGGGGATGGGGTAGTGAATGTGGTGTTGGGTGGGTTTTTTTTGTTTGTTTTTTTGTTTGTGGGGGTGGGTGGGTAGTTGTTTTGTTTGGTTGGTTTTTTGTTTTTTTGTTTTTTTTTTTTTAGGTTGGGTGGTTTTGTTTGGGTTGTTTTGCTTTGTGTTGTGTTTGGTCTGGTTGGGTTTTGGGTTTTCGGGTTTTTTTGAGGGAGATGGTAAACAGGTGTTCTCTTCAACTCTTCTCAACTGATCTGGTTTGGTCTTCAGGCAGTCCCCTGGCTGGTCCTGAACCACACATTTTGCTTTCTCCAGTACTTCAAAGAGAACAGTCATGGCTGTAAGGCTTGACTGGAAACCTCTTTATTCCAATATTAAAAGATTTTCTGTACTCCACCCTCCTTCATCCTTCCAACAACAAATGAAACCCAGCTTTAACACGAAAAGGAGCTCAGAACAATATCCACTGATGGTCCGTTAAGGACAGCATCAGGACTGAGTTGGAAGTTGGGTAAAAGAACAGCCTTAAGTTTGGCCCTCACAAAAAAAATCCCTTTGAAGACTGTAAAAGGAAGAGTCCAAATCTCAGGTGTTTAATTCTGGTTTCTCCCTAATACCCCTCCATTTTCTTGTGGTTTAGTTATGCTGCCCTTTCCATCTGTTATGCTGACTGTTCCACCTGTTCTCACCTCTGGCAACCCTTCAAGCACTTTTTGAGAATGACCAAATTCATTCCTGCAGTTTGATTTAGAAGTTATATCCTTCATTAATCAAGGAAAGTAATCATTTAACTTCATAAAATAAAATGATTTGACAACATTTACACATTTGAATAAGATAGGCAGTTCTGATAAAACATCTCGGTACCATTTTTTGTAGTTTTATTTAATTCTAGAGATTGGTCTGACTAGAAAACTGGAAGGAAAAAATGGTTTGCAATAAGTTATGAGAAGAATGCACCTTATCTTAGAAATCAAAATATGTATTTTATTTCTAAAAAGGGAAATTCCAACTAGATAAAACCACTGGACAACCTTCTAGAAAAAATAAATATAGATGCTTGAAAAAAGTGTATATTGAAATTACAACTGATCCAGCAAAATTGTCAAATGTTTAGAAAATGTAGTAGTAGGTTTTGGGATAAAACAAGTACAATGAATCATCAGGGAAAATTTCCTCCTAGTTATTGTATTTTACTGTAGAACATCAGCTCCACCTGCTGGTAAAAGTAAGTTCATTGAATGGTGTGCTACATACAGTCTTTGTATGAGTCTTTAAGAGCTTTTGATTTCAATAAGAGATGTACATCAAATGTCAGTTCTAACACAGTTTGATGACATGATAGTTTAAGAAAAATAGTTTACCACGACAGTATTTCTTTATATCACTGTAAATACATGACTTCAAAAGGTAATTAGTATGATGCCTCAGTTGTAAAAATAGCTTCAAATATTGTCAGCTGTTTTTCTGCTAGTTGTTAATTTTCATTAAAAGAAATTATGATTAGCAACACTGTAATTAAACCCAAATCCATATAATAAAAAATATAAATATAGCATCACAAGTTACACACCTTTCAAAAACTCTCATACTCTCATACACTTTCTTTCAATATCAGACATTAGTTTTCACAAGCAGTTTTCACTAGTTTAAAATTTTTTATTAGCATTTTCTAAAACCAAGCTAGAGTTATTTTGTTAATAATAAAATCCAGTAACTCTAAGCTTCTCTTCAAAGAATTCAGATGCACAACATAAATCAATGTTGAAATGAGTATTCAATTGAAGATTGTTTCCAACATAAAACCTCTTACTGCTCTCTGAATTCTATTCCAAGGTTTTTCAAGTCTTTTCAAAGGTTGTCTTTAATTACTTTGTGAGTTTTATAATAAACTTGTGATTAAGATCCCATGTAATACTTGACATCTAAGCTTCAAACTTCCAAGCTTGAAGAAAATAGTATCCTTCTGGCATCAATGATTCAGACACATACCTCTGAGGTGGCTTATTTAGGGAACGTGTAAAAAGCTAGAACAGATACCTACATACTGCAGTGACACCACAAGTATATACAAAAGATTTTAGTGCTAGGCTGACAGATATTTTTTCACAAGAAAAGAGAAGAGTTCCGGCTCTTCCTACAATTCAGAGAACAGTTATTTGAAATTCTTTTTGGAGCTGCTTTCAGAGCAAACTGTTTCAAGGTACCAGATCATACAGCTCAATCCACCAAAAGCCTCCAATGACCAGGGAGAGCCCAGCTTTGCCTGGAGTTCCACCAGTGAGACAGACACTTAGCAGCTGCTTTACTTAGGAGTCAATAATGATAAAACACCATTAAAATAGAATCAAAACTTCTCCGTAGCAGGTTATTACCTTGACAGATTTCTGCACAGAATTAACTTTGCTCAGGGTAATGGAATTTTACAAACACCAAACACAATAGGCTTCACTCCTCCAGTATTAGCTGTAAACTACGAGGTCCATACAAAACCATCCATTTTAAATGTTTCTACTGGTAGCATGTTGCAATGGTTAAAAATGAGTCTTACTTACATTAGCCTAAAACACTTGAAAACAGCTAGGCAATAATGACTCTGATGAACTGCAGCAGAGTAAATCTTTTTTGGCATAAAACATTCTAAGAATTGACTAAAAGAATCTTTAAAGCAGCTGTACTATTTTGGTAGAGCAAAAATAATGGCAAACAACTTCTGTTTCAATACCTTAATACAATTACTAATCAATCTTGTAAAAATGACTTTTTCAAGGGAACCCTCAGTCTTAGATGAGTAGTGTTTCATGACTTCTTTCTTTTTATATAGTCGTAACACGGAGTCAAATTTTTCAACATTAATTCCCAAAATTTTCTGTCCATTTTGACGAACTTCTGTTTAAATGAATAATGAAAACCTTACAAAAAATTAAGGAAAGTACAATAGTAAGCAGGACAATTGTTATATCTAAACAAACCAATGCTCCGAAGCGTGAAACTGTGCAATTCCATAGCAATGTGAGTTAGCAGACAAATCAAATCACCATTCCCTACCACAACTCAAAGAATCTGAAGAGCTTTAAGCATATTAGCTGTCACTCAGTCAAATCAAAGCCATGTTATCAGTTAGCAACCCTAAACAAGTAATTTCATTAGGATACTTTCTAATTGTCTACTGAGTCCCTCAGTGTCCAAGGACACATAACCAAGAAGAAATTGTAAACGTCTGTCTTTCTCACCCATCTACGTGCACCAGCACATAGATGGTGTTTGTGTGTACAGAACCTTTTCCAACAAAAAATGAAGACCTGGAAGACAAGGTAGCAATGTCTCGTCATGAACAGGCTTGGTTTGGAAATCACATTCACTACAGTTCTATTTCCAGATGTATCACCAACTACCACAGCTGGAGGGTGAACAACATTCATGCCAGTGCCACCAACTTTCAACTCCATTCTAACAATCAGTTACATGGATCAGACACGTTAGCTTTAGATGAAGAGCAGTTAGGGACAACCAGTACACACAGAGCTATCACAGCCCACTTATGGCATAGTTTGACATTCTCACTCCTGTTCTTTGGCACCAACACCTTACTGTAAGTGGGTGGGTACTCCGTTTTGCAACAAGAGGCAACTCACCTAACTGGGGCTCTTATGAAGCAATGCACAGCCCAGAGAAATGCAGGACAGACATTACTGAAGTCACAAGTTCTTTGTTTATTTTCCTGAATTCTCTGGCAACACATCTGGAGTGCCCTAATTAGAGGCATTCAACAGCCATGAAGTAAGCAGAGCAGCTAAACCAAATTGTTGCTACTGAATTTGTATCAATGAAGCCCCTAAATTTCCAAAGAACAAGCTTTACATGTTAAGGGACATAATCTTTATACTATAAATAATTATATAATCTAGAACACAACTAAATATTTTCACAGCAGAACATCTGATAATACGGACATAATAAGGAAGGGCCTACACACCAGTGAAAAGATTAGCAAAACAACTGCTTCTAGAACCAATGAATTTACCCAGAAACACAAAGTGTCTTATCTGTAAAAACAGGTTAAGAATACATTCAATTTTTTATTTCATTAAAAGTTCTTTCTTACCTTTAATTTTCTAACAGCATCTCTTACAACTTCTGTGCCTTTGGGCTGCTCCACTTCTGTACTGCCAAGAAACTGAGAAGATTGTAATTTGTGAGAAATAAGTTATGCATTGAAAGGCTTAATTAACTCAAGTAATCTTATTTTCCAATTCTTTCTAAGTAACATTTGGAAAGACATTTGTTTCAATAGTTGAGAAACAATAAATTTTTATACAGCTAGTTCCAATCAAGAGAATATGAAGAATTAGACTCTAATTAGGCAATTAAAAGAGTTACCAAAAGCAGCTTTTAAAAAACATTTTATTTATCTCAATCTTATAAAACTCCGTAAATTAGAGGTTAAGTACCTTTCTCTACTGGAAAACTGTAATTTTGTTAACATAATCTCTTTTGCAAAATAATGAGATGTAAAAAAGAAAATACTGATCTATGATACTTCCCCTGAATCAACATGAGCCAATGGTTTGGACTATGTTACTAAAAACTTTCAGAGAGTGATGCAAGATCAGTTAAGAAGGCCTGATTCTGCTGTCAGAGCTGCTTGGTACAGTAATTTCACAGATAGAGAGGAACTAGGCTCCAATTTACATAAAGACAAGGCTCATATTCAAAGAATTTCTACTAGAGATCCCATTGTTACCAAGTAAGGTTTTAATGAAAACCAAACATACACCTGTTAATATACAAAGCACAATACTTCAAAGGGAACTTACCATTTCTTTATTTGTACACAGAAATGCCTTTAGATTCTTCTGCAAAGTTTTGCTTACCTTCTAGTATACTGTTATGAAAGGTATGAAAATCCTGCCCGAACCACTAATGTGTAACTAATTAATTTCGAATTGTTTGATTTTCACATTGAGGTACAGTTATTTTAAGTCACATCATGTATCTGTATATACCAAAATAATGCTAGCAAGAAAGAACAAACCCTCTTTTTTCTCTGAAGTACACAATTTTCTGTGTAACATGATGCACAGTGGTATGTATAATTTTTAAGTCTTACCAGTTTCAGAAGGACTTAAATTTGCCAAGTCACATATGCTTTCAACATAATAACTCCAAAGTTTTAAATGTTATTAAAACTTTTAAAAGTGTAGTCAATGTGCTCAAGCTGTACTCCTGAAAAGAAACTTCGTAGCTCTACCAATAATTCTCATTAGAAATTTGCTACTCACTCTGAAATATGATGTGCATTTGAATACAACACCATGTAAATCAAAACACCATATGCATCTGCTCTCAATATTCTCTACTACTACAATTCTCCAGCCAGATTTGGAATAACAAAGCAGACACCTCTATTACTGATTTGATGTCTTTCATGCAACATCTCCAATGACTTTAAATAGAGGTTGTGTTCTTCCCTGGAAAAGTGACAGTTGCAGAAAATGCATATAGAGAAAGAAGAATGATTCTTGGACATTATGGATACTACATGTGACAAAGACAGAAAGGGAAAGGTGAGTGAATATTTATCAGCAAAGGTATACGAGTGAAAAAAAAAAAAAAAAAAAGGAAGCTTAAATGGACAAGGAAGAAAGTAGTAAACTCAGATGAGAATCAATGAGGAAGGCCAGTAATACCAGATATCTGTACACAAGCATATTTATACACCATACTCTTGGCACAACATGAGAGACAGAAGTGTATTTGCTGTAAAGTCTGTGAGCATTATATACAGTACAGGAATCCTGCATAACCACAGGAAATAGCAGCTTCAAGTGTGGACAAGGCTCAATGACCAGAGAACGCAGGTCATTGCTGCCCACGGTGAAGTGGAAGACGGCCGAGCGCACTTCATCATGCTTGTGTAGTTTTGAAAGTGGCAGCTCCAGAGGCATCATCAGTGTACACAGCTTGGGACTTCCTGATACAGATTTAGGGCCAGGTCTTGGGTGGAATTGAGTCAAATACACTTCTAGACGCTTCGGGGCACGCTGCCTCACTTGCAACCACTCCTCCAGAAAGGCACAGGGCACTTACTTGCTTACTTCCATCCAAATGACTGAGATTTGAGATAGCAAAAGATACCTCAAAAGCAACAGAGTAATTTCCCCTCCCCTTCCCTCTCAGCTATCTTGCTCTGATTCAGAGTCCAAGAAAGATGAAGCTATCTTTGCTGTTTTCCATAAATCCCAGAAGCAGACCAATCTTTCCATGAACAATAACTTCCATAAATATTGTTTTCCCAGAGGCTTGTACCTCATATTAATTCACATTACTGCCTTAGAAAGTATAAGCACCAAATTAAGCTTCTGCCACAGCTGGGGAATCTGTTAAATGTCACTGAATTTCTAAGCCCATAGTAATGTTCCCAAAGTCAGTCAGAAATTACCATTTCTGATCATGAAGGGGAAGGAGAAGTAAACATCTAAATGGAACAATAAACTGCTGAAAGCACAGGTTTAAATGACTGACAGAACCTGGAGAAACACATACAAATTGGGTTTGCTCAACCAGATACAAAAGAAATAAACAACCAAACCCCCAAGTATATGGAAACATCATGAGTATTATATCAATATTTATGGAACATAACCAACCAGAATTTCACCAGTCATTCACAACATGCTATCTTCCAGATGAGCATCAGTTTTGACATTAAGCATCACTACTGATATTTATATTGCTCTCAGCAGTTTTGGACTGGATATGGAATTAGAGCTTATGCTTTAAAAACTATTCAGCATAGAAAAATACAATAAAGTGCATTTAATCCAGAAATACAAAAAAGATCTGTAGTTTAAGTGTTATTACCGATCAGAGATGATGAGACCGTGCCATAGGTTGCACTGCTTGTATCTGATACATATTTGTTATCTCTGTTAACTGCAGTTCTTTCTTTTTTTTTTTCAGGTAAATTCAAATTTTAGTTATAATTGCCTACACTTCCATGCCTGACCTTCAACAACTGTATTTATTTATGTATTTTTGGTAAGAAAGTGATAAAGAGAAAAACAGCAATAAAGAGCAAATATTCTGAATATTTGTATGAATTAGACCTATTTTGGGGCAAAATATTAACAGAACTTCAAACCAAGACAAGTTATTTTCTAATTATAACAAAAGAATGACTATGCAATATAGGTTTAATGTATAGTTGACATATTAACTGGAGGCTTTTTTCTGCTTGCTTTTTCATCTGCTCTCTACCTTCTGTCTGTGATCTGCCCTGTCATAATATTTTGTTTAATATTAGGTATCAATTACTATGGCTTTACTTGTAATTATTAAGCTAAGCAAACATGCATATTTACAAAGTGGAGATTTGGGTGACAAGCTCAATGTGACTAAATCCTATGTGTTTGAATAATCCCTAATATAATGGATGCGCTGCCACCACTGGGATTTTTTTAAATAACTAACAACTAATTCACCATCCTCATGAAATGGGGCCATTTCATTATGTTCTTTTTAGCAGATTTTTCTCACCAAATCTCACAGAAACACAGAGAACAAATATTTTGTATCAGGGATTCGGTACAGCTGTGGCATGAATAATATAAATATTCATCGTGGGAGAGTTTCTGCAACAAAAGTTTCAAAGCAAAATTGGTAAATATGAACCTTCCCTTTTCAAGATCAGGCTCCTTTAGAAAGCAATACTGACACAATCTAGGTGAGAACTCTAAAAGTCAGTGATTGCTTTCATCACTTCAGGTTCCCTCCAGCAGCTACGGCCATTTTGCAGACCCGTCTGACAAGGACTGAGAACATGAAATGTAATTGTTCCTGAGAGTCAAACTAATACAAGTACTTCATTGCAGAAGAGAGAAACAGAAAATAATGCAGCGGTTCCCCTTCATATCACTCAGTATTAATTCTATATGCAAAGTAATAAATGCATTACATTAAGTGTTCATTAACATCAAATACATAATACAGATGAAAAATGTTTCCATATGATTGTTACATGTATCTACTGTTTGCAACTAAAGGGTAAGTAAGAATTAAATTTGGTGTACTTTATGCATAAGCCAGTTCAAACAAAAATTATCAGTAAGTTGGGCATGCCAACTAGACTCACCTTTTAAAATATTTACATATTGTTAAGTTTAGTGCTAATGAGAAGTTCACCATAATCAAACTGAGTTTCAGTTGGATATTTTAAGAAGTTTGAAGGCGATGACATTAATATTTTGTATAACAAAGAAAGCTAAGGCAATATTTTTCCCATCGAAATTACAATACGTTTTTCATTGCAGTCTGCCATTCTTCCAAACACATTCCCTACAAAACTGATGAAAGGTTATTTTTCTAATATTACTTATTCTGACCTCACTTGCAGCTGTCTATAATCAGAAATAACTTTTATAAGGTCAACAGATCTTGTCAGTTAAAACAGTTTAACTGTTCCTTTCAAGTACATTAAGGCTTGTTCTTCCCTCACTGATGTTTGCCATTAGGAAAGTGAGCCGTTGTCCAGCCATATACAAGACAAACACCTCAGATCAAACTGTTTATAATATAGTGTTATCAGACAACCAGATGTGCTTGTTCCATGTGCAAAGATCTGCAAGATAGCGCAGCTGCAGAGAATTAACAGACACTGTTTCACCGTATTAGAATCAGCAGAAGTTTTATCGTTGACAGCAACTGGGAGAATAATTCAGCCCTGTAATGGCCAGGAGGGCTGTCTTACACGACAAACTAGGAAACAGACCCTTTGTGGGGCATATCTCTTCATTCAGAATGTAGCAGAAATGAAAACTGTCCTATGCATTTAACTTGAGCAAGACGTGTTTTGGTCCAATTCCACAGTGAAATTATTAAAAATGCTTTATAGTTGTACTTTAGCTAAAGAAACTATTAAAATAAAAGAGAAGGTAAATCTCTTATTTTGCTGACTCAAAAGTCAATTCAAACATAGGGTAACTTCAGGACTTCAGAATTCTTTACAGTTCTGACAAGCCAATTTTGCTGTTATCACACGCTCAATAGCTATCAGTAAGGTCAAGGTGAATTGTTAAAGTTAACAGTTCATTTATTTTCCTTGTCATTAACAAGACACAGTCCAGTAATTCTTCTCTCTGTCAGCTTACATTTTGACCCTCAACATTATACTTTTTT